AGTGGGAGGGTGGGGGGAGGAGTGGGAGGGGGCAGCAACAAATCTTATCATGTACATGTTAGCAGAGCCATTGAAAAGGGGAAAAACATTTATATTAACAATCAGAAATAAAGGGGGTGATCTACTGAATGAGATGTCTACTTGGGAACGAGTAGACGTTCCCAAGTATCTCTTATCTCGCTGTCTTTTATAGAGCAGGGAGAGAGGCTAGCTCCCCCTACTGGACAATAAGAAGGAAAACATTACCAATCGTTTGCGACTCTGGATGGTCACCTCTGACACCGGAGCAGCTGATCGACAGATTTCTGATTTGCCAACAGGCAACGGCAGGCAATCCTGAAGAATGAATCAAAGCAACAACATTCTCAGTGTAATATTAGAGAATACAGTGAATCCTCCTTCATTCAATCTGCATTCAGCATTTTCTCACCTGCTGCGTGTCCACGGCCTCCAGTCTCCTCTCCAACCCCTCCAGGTCTGAGCTGACCTCCCTCAGGAGCAGCCTCAGCCTGTTCAGGATCACGTGGACCTTCTCCTGGGCCTCCAGACACTCGCTGCCCTGCGGGTCCCGGATCTGCTCTGAAGCCTCCGACTGGAGCAGCAGAGTCTGAGGTTTAGTGTTGACCAGCAGCTGAGCTGACAGCTCCTGAAGGGACGACACCTTCTGCTGCGAGTCCAGCAGCTCGCGCTTGATTTGCTGCGGAAAAATAAGACAGACGGAGGAGTAATTCAGGGATAATCTGACCTCTGCTTTCATGTTTCTATTCTTTCTTTCTCTTTTAACATATTTTACTGTTCGAATTTTTCATTTTAAGATCATTTTTATTTTGTCTGTAGACTTTTTTTTTTACACTATGTTACTGTTTATCTTTGTTTTAGTTCACTGCCTAATTTTGTTTCTTCTTTTTAGTCCTGTTTTGTGTTAATAAAGTGTAAACATTTGTTATCTTTAGAGCAGAGGTTCTCAAGCTGTTTTACACCAAGGACCACCAAACCGATCCTCATACAATAAGGGCATGGAATCATATGACGGTTTACATTTTAGATGGATTTACAACAGATAATGTTAATCTTCATTCCACTTTACTGTCTGTGATTCATATTAAAGCCATAACAGTGGAGACACCACAGCCAACACAAGTCTGCTGTCCACAAACCTCGTATCAGAGACGTACCGTCAGTGTTTTATGATGAGCTCGTAATGTTTCACGGTCCAGTTTGGGAGGGATGGGCACCACCTCGTTCCTCCTGCGGTCGATGTTCTCCAGCCACAGCAGCAGCCCGTGGCTCATCTCGTGGAACTCCTGAAAGGAAAGACGCCATAACTGACATTAGGTGTGTGTTTTAGTTTTTATTAAACTGACTGTTGTCACTTTGCTACTCTTCTTTTCCTTCCTATTTGTTCATTCATGTTTTGCAGAGGCAAAAATTACGCTGGAAAGTGTGGATTTAAATGTGGATTCATAAAGGAAACATGTAGATGGGAAAAATACAGAAAGATGAAAAACTTTTAAACTAAACTTGCAGTTCTTATGATTATAAATAAATCAAACATACACAGATGATTTATTTTTATTATTATGTACAAAAGTTGGTGCAACATTAAAAGGCCTTATACTTTTGAAACTTTCCCTGGAGTGTGTGTGTTTCTGTTACCTGGCACTGCATCAGCGCCCTCTGGAGCTCTTCCCTCCAGTCCTCCAGCGAGGTACCGAGCCGATCCCAGCGCGAATTCATCTCTTTCAGCCCGTCCCTCAACTCCCACGCCTCCTCAGAGTCGGGCTCTGATTGGAGGAAGTCTGCACTGCTCAGATTGATGGACAAGACCTCTGACTTGTGGGCATCCATCCCCTTCATCAGCTCCTGAGGGGGACGAGTCAAAGAGGAAAGTATTCAAAACAGCATCTACATGTAGAGCGGGAGTTTATTTATAACGACTCTGAACCGTGAACCAGGTCAGACTGTAGGTGGCTACGAGATAGAGGAAGCAGAGAACGTATGAGGTGCCAACAGGCGAGAGTGCAACAGAATTACACTGAGGTGGTTGGGACATGTTAGATGTATGTTATTAGGCTTCAGAGCGGTGTATTTATAGAATATTGATATGTTGTCTAATGCTTTACAGGCAGCAACAGCCGGACTAGGTATTGAAGTGAGTGTGTGTGTGAGGGTGAGTGGAAGGACACGTGAAGTAGGGCATTATAAACAAGGCCAGCGGGGTCAAATTACTGCAGACAAAATATACTTCATGTACAGTTCCTGACAGTATACTGTACGATGACAAAAATTAAACAAACTGACACTGCAAAATAATTTATAATTGAAGAAAACCAAACAATCATTTGGTAAAAGAGTTCATAACAGCTTCCTAGAAAGCATATTATTCAGCTACAATCAGATTTCCGTCTACAAAGACAAACTCAAACAGACATGCAGTAAACAAACCTTGAGCTTCTTGATTCTCTGCTGGATGGTGTGTATGTCGGTGCTGAGATCGAGCCCTCGCAGCTGGCTGAGTTCAGCCTCGGACTGACCCAACCAAGCCCTCATGGTCTGCAGATCTGAGATCAGCTGCTGCCACTGCTGCAGGTTCTGCTTGTGCCTGTGCTTCTCACTCAGAGACTGAGCCTGGATCAGCTCCCAGCGCTCGATCACGCCTGGAGGGAGGGGAATCATCACATCAGTTTGACACATAGCCCACAGTATTTACAGAAGGAGGTCGTCTGTCTGTAGCGTCTAAAGATGATATGTGTGTGTGTGTGTGTATAACTGACCCTTTCCTTGGACGTCTGTGCTGGTGGGGTTGGTGAGTCCTGGCATGTCATCTTCGTCTTCAGTCAGCTCTCCCTCTGCTTTCTTCACTGCGTCTATACTGCCTCGACACTCTCCCATCAGGCGCATCTAGGAGGATAATAATATGACTTACATGTATTTTCTTTCAAAAATAAACAACGTGTGCACATGCAAATGGAAAAACACACCAACATGTGTATATGACAAAGATATAAATGAGAAGAAAAAAACTCACATAGCCCATGTATGTGGAGTCGACGTCGGGGCTGGAGCTGTTGCCGGTGGCCTCTCTCTGCTGGAGGTGGTATCGTCCTGCATCCAGAGCCTGATCCAGCTGTCTGAGACTGGCCTCCAGCTGGCCTGGCTCACCTGCACAACGGCAAGGCAACAACGGGGTCAAGAAAACACCAGGAGGATACGGTTCGATTCGTTAGCATGCTGGCGTGGACTGGATGCTGTGATGGCATGCGTTAGTTACTGAAATGTAAAATAACTGCAGGTAATGGCAGAAATAACACAGAAGTTAGGTTTTAATGATGAAATAAATGACACAAAACAAACACACAAGTAAAAGTGCAATGGTTGAGATTAGCTTTGAGTAAACTGGACCTCAGCATGCAGTGATGGCTTTGCATTACACACAGATTTTGTATGGTTCATGCAATCTGAGTGATGCTTCCTTGCGTGGTGTTAAAATTCAGTTAAGAAAAGTATGTTTTAGTTATTTTAGTTTGCATGCTCTCCTATCACATGCTGTGACACCAGAGGGGGGGCTGCTGTTTCCTACCAGAGGACGATTTCAATGTGTTCTCAGTCAGTTTTATATAGGCCTCTGGGCTCTCTGGGATAACTACATCTGGGAAGAGACACATACAACAGACACTACTTATAACGTGGGCAGCTCTTTGAAGAGGTTTCACTTTTTGTCATCAAAGCAGAGTGATGTTTCTACTTATTGTTGTGTGCCACTGAAACTGTAACTGGCATTAGATCCATAGAAATGATCATTTGAATACTTGTTGGTGCCTTCAACAGCTAAAAACCTATCACAATACTGGAAATATATATTTGAGACGCAAGAATGATCATTCCCTAATCACTAAAACCTCTTTAACTATTCCTACTTGATCAGTTCTATTAAAAAAACACACCAGTTAATCTGCTAAATAGCTAACAATACATTAATTATTTTTCAAATGGCCTATTAGCATTCATAAAGCACAAATAGTCAATTTCCTTAAAAAGATTATGTAATCTGGTTCTACTTACAGTAAAAAGGAAATTTCTTTGACATACCTGTTTAATTATTTCTTATTAATTCAGTATTGGAAACATATTATATGTTTTATATCAATTTCACGTGTTAATCTGCACTGCATTGTTCTTTCAAGGAAGTTTCAGACCTGTGTAACATACACAAGCAGTTAACAAATATCCATCCATCATACAGTCAAGTAGTAAAGTTGGACTGACCTGTCAGCACCGTGGCAGCCGTCCTGAGATACTCATCCTCCTCCTCTTGCCCTTGGCTCCTTTCCCCGTGGCCTCGTCCTCCGGGGCTCTCTAGGCCTCTGCTCAGGTCGTAATCGTGGTCCCACTCCAGCGGGATGGAGTCTACGCTGGCCGGGGTGTCGCGTCCCGAGCGGTCTGCCCGGATGAGGGCGGTCGTACCCGAGGCCGGACGGCTGGATGTCCGGGGCAGAGAGGAGTCGCCCCACTGCAGCTCGGACAGGTCGCCACCTTCCTCCATGTCCAGCTCTCTGTCCGAACCATCGAGCTCATCGTCGGCCAGCTGGGAGACGAGGACAGAGGAATGTTAGCGAGACGATAGAAGGGACAGAATAACGCAAGAGAGAGGAATGCAAAAACCCCACGGAAAGGGTTAAAGGTTCAGACACTGTAAAGTTTATAGAAGCTCAAAGTGCAACCACGAAGTGCGAGAGTGTAGTTTGTGAGGTGCTGTGAGGTGAGCGTGTGTGCATGAAAATGTGAGTGTGTATTCTGTTCCTTAGCAGCTGTCAGTGTGAAACTATGTCGGACACATGTTTTCACCATGTCACAGGTTGTGAGGGAGGACAGCTGTAGTGTAAATCTTGTAATGTGTTTACGGAGCACTTAGAGTTCACTCGGGAAACCTTTTGCTGTCTATCAAGTCTTCTGCAGAACTTCTCTTAGCAGTAATAACTCCTGCTACACCTGCTAGTACTTCTGTTTGAGCTGTTTGATGCAAATCTGTCCTGTGAAGCAGTAATTTGCATCATACATTTACTGAGAAAGTAGTCCCGCATAAAGAGTGAACACTACTTTATCAGGAAATCAGATTCCAATGACTCTTCGTGAGCATCAGGTTTAAATGTCTCCAATTAATTTGAGTTTCAGCATGAATTTCCAGTGTAGTATATTGTTGTGTTGTTGGATTAAAGTGTGTGTCGTCTCTGTATCTTTGCTCACAGGCAGTCGTGTGAGTTTCTTGTAGTATCTGTCGACCCGTCCGAAGACCTCCTGGCAGTATCTCTGCAGCTCCTCCAGCTCTTCCTCGATGACGGCTGCGTCCAGAGGTTCACTCTTCTCTATCAGAGATTCACCCTGTCTGAACACCAGCTCAATCTTCCCTGTGTTCAGATAGATCTCCTGCTGGAACGCCTGAGAAACACACACACATAAGCAGAAGTCAGTAATTAGTTATTAAGAATAACGATAATTGATCTTTTTGAGTGTTCAATTAATCATGTATCCAATCAAATGTATAAATCTCAGAAATGCAAACAGTAGGAAAGCAAGCAAATGTTTTTATTTGAGGAAGTGACTAAAACAATGTTTTGATTTCTGCTGATTGACTGATCAATCAGATAATAGTTTCAGCACTGGAGCAAAGCAAAGGAGCTTTTAAAATCCACTTGTATAGTTTTATATTTTTCTGCATTGTCCATTTACTACTTCTGCACTGCAATGGACAACTTTTTACATCATTACAAACACATTTATTGAGTTTAACTAACTTACATATATTGTCATTGTTACTATGCTTTTCCGGGGTTACTGGATCTAAAGTCGGAGCAATGCTTTTTAAGTTTAATAAATCCTTAATTGTGCATGTTTTGTTACCCAGTTGTGTTTTGTATCTTGTTGGCTTGTCGTCTCCTCTAAGAAGCAATATTCAATCATTGTTTCTGTCTGTCTGTCTGTCTGTCTGTCTGTCTTACCCTGAGCTGTTTTATCTTGGCCTGAACGTCACACTCAGAGAAGTGCTCTATGTTGGTCAGCTGGAGGTCCATCTCCGTCAGCCACACCAGGATGCTGTCTCGTGCCGTCTCAAACTCCTCTCTCTGGCTGATGAAGTGCTGAATGAACAGAGCAAGACATACAAACAACAATTTATTGTTTTTATTTATCTTTCTAAATTAACAAGGTTGTTTCTTAATGAATTATATAATTGAATATTTGATATGGACTATCATTTATTCATACTACCAGTGGACAAATGGAATAGAATAAACGTTATTCAGAACTAATGTGGAGGAAATCAGCTGTTATATTAGAGCCAAATGCCCTCAGTTGCATAACTAACTCTTGCAAAACTCAGTCAACAATCTGAGCCGATGTTACCTTGAGTCTGCGTAGGATGGCAGCTACCCTCTTCTGTAGGTTATCCCATCGCCTGTTCCCATCATGCACCATTTCTCTGAGTCGGCAGGAGGAGTCGGTGCGGTTCTCCCGGGCCAGACGACGGTACTGTTTGTTGATGAGCTCCAGCTGGGTCAGGCACTCCTGCACCTGGCGCTGGAAGGCCTTGGACAAAATAACACATACAAACACAACTTAAAGCTCTGAATAGTAAACACCAGTTTGCAATTATTTCTTAAAACCTTTTATAATGCATATAGATGGCTGGTAAAGTCTTTGTTCTGCAGTGAAAAAGAAAATGCCAAAAAAAGAAAGAAAAGGGGACACTAATTAATAAATGGTCATTACATGTTATGTTTAAACATCTATGTTTAACTGAAATGATCACAGATCCAGACAGTCAGCTAGCAGGAATGTGCACGTGCACAGTGATCGACTGCAGCAGCTGAGCAGACCAGAGCAGACGAGTTTGAGCAACATGACACTCTTTTCTCTTTTTTCTGTTTCCTCTACCCTGCAGACTGACGGTCTCTGTCCAGAGATTTATTTCGCACACATGCAGAAATTCAAGTGTCTGACAGGACATGCGCATATGAAAACAGAGAAACATGCATTTGGCTCTTTGCTTTACTACTAATTCAGATATGTATATGAATGCACACATATTGCACCTACAGCCTTTTACTCCCCATTCTGATAATAAAAGCGAAATAGACACACCTCAAACTTTTTAAGCTCCTCTTTAGCGACAGTATACAGAACTCCAGAGGAGTTAGGCAGAGCTGCTGTCCTTTCCGAGGTCTTCAGCCAATCCTCAAACCTGGAGTAATCATCCAGAAACTTCTGCCACAGCCTCCACGTCTCCTCAATCCTGCACAGAGAAACCTCGCAGTTTTAAACATAAACACATGATTTAATGATTACCAGTAGTATAGTCAGCAGAATCATAGTGTACTGTAGAAGGCAATGTGATTTGGCTGGCATCAAGCATCTGTACATATATACAGTGCATAAGAGTGAATTTATCCACTGACTTGAGCCTCCTCTCCATGGACATGGCGCAGATGTTCCTCCAGCGTCGGTCCAGCCCTCTGGTGGCCTGCTGGATGGAGTCACACTCTGTTTCCGTGGAGCAGGCGTCACAGTCGTGCAGCAGGACTTCACACAGGTTCAACACCGACGCCACACCTGTGCTGTGTTTCTCTATGTCCCTCTGCAGCTCCTATAAATCATTCAGAATAATTGCTTGATTTTTTGCAGCACTTGAAAGGTTGTATGTGTGGTCCTGGCTTTTCTCCCTGTGAGTTTTGTCTTTATGTTTTAATGATAGAAAGCAAAGCTTCTTTTATGCCATAAACAAATTCAGCAAATGTCTCTCAGTAGTGTACAGAAGGAACACAGTCAGCTTGCTAAACTACTGTAAATGCACACGTTAGCTAACTCTGCAGCTCTGGAGAGGAAGGAGGTCAGTGGGGTCTCAGAATCCAGTCCACATTTAGAGTGGCATCTTGGCAGCAGGAAGCACAGCGATACTGACTGCGGGCTAGAACAAACAGCTTGAGATGTACGCATGAGTCATGTTGTGATTTCCACATGTGGTTCAGACGGAGCCACTGATTTTCCACTAACTTTGTTTGAGTCATGTTGCTCTGCTATTATTTAGTATTTACAGAAAAGTACATGCTCACATGCGTGTTTGTTTGTGTCTGTGAAGGTGTTTGTACATCTGAGTGTGAATACGTGTGTTATTACCACATGTTGCAAAACTTTTAACTCTTAAATAAACCTGTAAACACATCAGTAAACAATTATGCTTTAGACCAGAGCTGTTTTATGCAGGGTCCTACTCGCCTGCTGCTGGTTGAGTTTCCTCTGAATCTCCTGGTCATCGCAGGTGTCGTAGACAATGGGCCGGGACAGCTCCGTCTCGATGTGAGCCAGCCAGGAACGCAGGCTGCTCATGTTTTTATCTAACTGCTGCACCGCCACCAGGGTCTCCCTCAACTTCTTCACCCTGGTAGAAAAACAGAGTCAGAGAGGGAGTCAACACATGGGACAACTGTAAACACTGAGGCAGTGTGGTAAAGGAGAAATGTGTTGACAGATTCTTGCTCAGTCAATATAACAACAAACCATAAAACACGCTGTAAACATAACTCGTAAATCACTAATATGATTAAAGAATCAAATAAAAAGTATATCAGAGGTGATTTTAAATGAATGAAAGTATCAAACATTTTCATCAATGTGTCTGATTTTCTTAGAAATAGTGTTTATCTCAGTTTATTTATGCAGAGTTAACAAAAAAACATGTAACCAAAAATAATGCAGAACAGAAAACATCCTTTAATTCACAAAAGAAACAACTTTGGATGTGGTTGTGAATTTGTAGACACAAAATAACAAAGAGACACTGAGTGCCGTGTTCAGCTAAACAGAGCAGAAGAGTAATACGAGTATGAGGAGTTTTATTTCAGATCTGTACAGATATTTCTGTTGGGAAGTGAAGAATCCTAACTTGACCCTACACAACAACTGGGAACCATTTTGGATCTGCAAACGCCTGACATTTCCAAACCCTTACCACTGCAATCGATGATATGTGAAACATGTTTAAATTAGCCAACCTCCAACTCTTACAACAGTGTGTGCATCGAGCTTCAACACCCCACCCTGCAGAGCAATGCAACTCTCACTGTCTCAACACAGACTTGACGGCGGCCATACGGTATTACATAAACAAACTAAAGATCATAATCTGATAACAACAGACACATTTAGCAGGTCTGCTCTTCTATCACCTGCCACCCTGCAGCTCTAATGTGCTGTGCAGTTATGTGCTGCATGGTGTCAGCTGCACACTACATCCTGAAATTCCTAAATCTGCTATTAGGCATCACACAGTGGAACAAACTATATAATACAGTTACTACTAACTGCTACTACTACTAGTTTGTTTACATTTAAGGGAAACATAATGCATAGCCTCACACATAATCCACTGCACACATCAGTCCAAATACAAACTGCAGTTGTTTTAACTTGTTGCACAACTTCACTGCAGGTTAATTCTGATGTCAATATATCACACTAACTGTGACAGTGACACTCCTGCTATTGTCTAAACTGCCTGGAACCTATTGGGCTGTCCTGTGAGGAAATCTCCACCCAATGCTGGAAACCCAGACTGGTTAAAGTGTGGTTTACACACTAATTAAACCATATCTGCACAACCACAGAGCTAAAATAAGATAAATAAATATTGCACAAAGAAGAGAGTCCAAAAAAATCTCTATCTCTACTCCACATTTAAATACAATTCAACTCTACTCACAGTATTCATTATTCTACATAGCAAAAGCTACACATGAGGCTGATCCACTCTTTTTTAAGACTATAGATTGTTGTGTACAGCTTTAACATAAATTCTCAATTTTGTCCTGCCTGTTGACATCGCAGTCGCAATCTGGCAGATCCTCCTCGCTCTGGCATCCTGCCATATCATCCGTCCCTAAATCCAAAACCATGGGGGTGCGGAATTCCAAAAGACAGCGCTAACGTCAGGAAGCGTTACGGTGTCGATCCAAACACTCTTCTCTTTCGTCTGCGCGGTGCACATGGGACTTTCTCTAAAGTCTGCCTGTGCAGAAGGGGAGCAGGTAGTGGTGGGGTGGCACAACTGTGACTTATCAACTGTTGCTCTCCAAGGTTAAAAAAAGAGAACCCCAAACAGGCGTGAGTGTATACGTAAGTGTGTGTGTGTGTGTGTGCGTGTGTGAGTGACAAGTGCTGCTGCTTCTAAAAACAGACTTACAGTCAGAGGCATGTGCTGCAGCGCTGGCCTGTGTCAGAGTATCTTACACCAAGTACACACAAAGGGAGTGTGAACAGAAGCAAAGGCTGGAGGCTCCATGCATGTAAGTAAACTTCGATGGATAGCGCACAACGAGAAGAAAGGTTTTCCAATAAAACATGTTTGCAGGAAAACTATAATAGATTCGTGTTTGCTCAGAAAAAAAAAACAAAAGAAACTCAAGAAATTGTTGGTAAATAAATCCACAAAATTCTCAGGAAAACGCTGTCAGGTATTGTGCTCTCTGTAACCGTTACAAACCGTCTCCACTGTTGTTTTTCAGTTAAGGACACATTTAAGAGACAAAGAGTGCAGCTGTCTGTATGAGGTCAGACATTGGCCTCCCTTTCTTCCCTCATCCAGTACAGTCCCAGAGGGCAACAGCCGGAAGACAGCCGGTGGGGGTTGGGCAGCAGGGGTAGTTGGAGTCAAAGTTTAGGTCAGGTCACTTTCAGTTTCCATATTTTTTATATTAAATCAATACATACAGTATCGCCAACTACTCTACACCAGTTTTCAAAGTAGACTGGTTCCCACTCAGACCAGCACAAGTGTCCAGAGCACCAAAAGAGACAAAAGAAGAGAGTCAAGGAAGCATGAGGAATGTGACCTCTCTCTCTCTCTGCTTGGTCTGCAGCCCCACTAAGCGGAGGCCCCACTGACACCAGCAAGAAACTCAGGAAATGCCTCAGCAGCATTGTGGGAAAATGAATTCCGCATCACGTGTGCTGTGTTATGAAGGATACCATGGTAACAAACCGAGGCCAAAGCAAGCCTCCACTAATATAAACATTTCCCCACTAGGAGGAGTCAGTCAGCGTGGGATGTGAAGAGTAAGCATTGTGACAAAGTTACTTCCCTTCTTTTCACCCAAATAATGATACTGTAAGGACTCGTCTCTAGTTGTTCTGGTAGACACAATTTTTACACTTTTTAAATGTCACTTGTGTCCTTCAGTCCATCCAACTGTTATCTATGATCTGTGCTATTATAAACTTCACAGAACCCCCTCAAACTCTACTATCAAACTTAGCACCTGAGAGTCTTGTACACCCACCTGGCAGCGATGAGGTCCAGCAGGTGTTGCCAGCGCTCGCTGACTTTGCTGAGTTTGTGTTGGATCTCGGCCGCCTTGCTGTCCTGGCTGGCCCTGGCCAGGCGCCCGCCCATAACCTGCAGCTGCTGCTTGTTCTCTTGAGCTACGCTGATCTCCTCCTGGTAGTCCTGGGAGAGAGACACCAAGCAGGTTAACACAGAAAGGTGTGAGTGTGGTGCATATTGTAGGTGTGTGTGTGACACCTGTGCATTAGAGCTGCAGATGAGACCAAATTAGTTAGTGTAGCGTCCTTTCCATTTCCATTAAATACAGTACTTGTTATGAAGCTACATTCAAATAATTTTTTTTCTTAATATTATGCTTTTAAACAAGCAGTCTTCACTGTTCCACACCTAGGTCCCCTCTAGAGTCAGTGTTTGGTTCAACAAGGCAGCCTCCACAGAAGACGACCAGTATCTGTAGATAAAATGGCTCGTTCTAAGGAAATTAAACCTAACTATTCTTATTTTCAGACGAATATACACGAATGAAAACATAATTATGAATATTATGTTCCATTTCTGCCAATAGATCCTCCTAAATGTTACACCCTGGACCTTTAATTAGTTCAAACTGAAACTGATAATTGTTCATTTTATTAAAATCCAAACGTTTGCGCCCTTTTTCAAGAAAACTTAAAAAGTACATAAGAGTTGATAACAACCTACAATAGTATCAGGTTAATTTACTCTCATTTTAAAACAATTGTATGAATTAAGGTAAGTAAATAACAAATGAATCTAATTAAACATATAATTAACATACCAGAAACATCAAAACAATCTAGACTCAGCTCAACACTTAAACCCTGGTTGTACTGAAACAGGTGTGCTGTGTTCACTAATATGTGTATAATATGTGCAGACTGTGAAGACTGTGTGCTGAAATCACCTTGCGCAGCTTTTCAATCATCTCTTCAATGCTGATGTCTCCATTCTGAGAGACCTTGCTCTCCATCTGTGTGAGCCACTCACACAGCTCCTTGTTCTTCTCATTGAACACTGCCCACTCATTCAACTTCTCGCTCACCTGCTGCCTGCGCAGGGAAAGCTGTGTGGACAAAAGGAGAGGACGAAGGGGGGATTTGTGGGACAGGGGACAAGAGAAAGGGAGAAGGGAGGAAATGTGAGGAAAGACATGGAAAGGACGATGAAAAGAAACATTTTAAAATGTGACAATTTAGTGGTTTAGTAGTAGAGAAAGAACAGAATTGGAGGAAGATAAACCTTAAAGACATAAAATAATTAGGTCTGAATGCTGCTAAAATCAACCAGGAAAGTTAAAAAAAACCAAAATCCTTCTCATGCAGCAACCAGAATATGTCCAGTCCAATTAAATTCTTCTAATCCTCTCTCAGTCTTTACCAAACACCCCGTCACACTAACACACAGCTCACAACAACACTTTTGGTCCTGTGACGCCTGAAGTGTTGGATGTGGAAAGTTAGCCACAGATGAACTCTCACTCTGTCAAATGTTACCACTGTCTATCTTCATCAGGGCTCAGTACTGCATGAGAACATGCGCCGTGTAAATACATACATGCATACATTATTTAATTTAGATAAGATCCCTTTATTTTAATGTCCTCTGAATGCTTGAAAACTAAATGAGGAGCCACTGCAGAATTTAACAAAACCACAAATTAGTCTGAGATTATGCAGAGAGAAAGCAGACGAATCAGCCTTTTAAAAACACCCAAGAAAATAAATGTTTATGTTTATGTACTGTGTGAATCTACCTGGTGGCAGACCTCCTCCCACTGGCGCTGAAGCAGCTGGAGGCGTTCCTGTAGCACTGTGATGTCATCTGCACTGACCACGCCCTCCAAGGAGTCCCTCAGCAGGAACAAGGAAGTGAGGTCATCAGTCCAGCCTTCCACACTGCTCTCCAACTCCTGCATCCACATGATATGACAAGAAATGATGTACAAAACACACAGAGAGAGAGAGATGATCCTTAAATGAAGAGATACTCAGACCCAACAGCCAAAGTCAGACAGAGCAGAAAAAACAACCCACGACAGAGCAGAACTTCTGCAGCTGCTGCAACCTCAGAAACAGTGATGAGGAAAAAAAACCCCCAGCAAACTCACAATGAATATTACATCAAGGCATGTCGCGAAAAAAAAAGGCACAAAGTTTCTTCTAAATGCAAGTAGCATAAAATGGCCTAAAAATAATACAACATGTTAAATTAAATGTAAATAAAACAGCTACATTCCAGGTTAAAGGCAGGATAAAGGTAACAGACCCAGCGAACCTTGCATCTCCTCCTCCTCTGTCACTGTGATGGTTTTTGCTGCGGTGTAATCATTGTGGAGCAGGAGAATGTCTCCATTACGCAACACACACAAAAGGAAGCGAACACACACATACATAAATACACCCCCACTGCCAACAGGGATGCTCTCTCTCTCTCTCTCTTCTTTCTCTCTCTCTCTCTCTCTCCTGGTTCCTTAATGGCGCACGCAAGCCTCTCTTTCTCTTTTCTCCTTCTCTCTCTTTCTCTCTCTCCCCACCCCCTTTCTCTCTCTCCTCAGCTGATGCTACACTCACAGCCCTCCCCTCCTCCCTGAGGAGGACATGTCATGCATGAAACATGACTGCATATAATGTCCAGTGGTTCACACAAACTGCAAATGATCACAATGTGAAATTCCACACAGCAATTTTATGATTTTTGTTGTAACAACGAGGGAAATAGGAGTCTCCCTGTTCATTCATCCTGGCATAATTTTAGCCTGAGTCACATTAATAATTATTTACTAAGCTCTTTTTATGATAAATTAATACAGAAAACAAATTATCTACAAAAATAAAAATCATATTTTTTCTAATTAGATAAAGACACAAAATACTGTGCTCTTGCAGGACAACAAGGTCGCACAATGAGACAGCAGCTGATACATAAAGATTTTTATTTTTTTTCTGCTGGTCTGTCTGTTTATCTGTTTGTCCCCGTAGCCAGATTAATGGGGTAGAGGGAGGACAAGCCTGTGTGTGTGTGTGTGTGTAAAAGAGAGAGGCAGACCAAGAGAGATAGAGAGAGTAAAATGTTTATATAACGACAGAACAGGATACTGCCTATAACAATGTGTATTACAGTGTCCTCACCTTGCATCTGACTTGCTCTGAGTGTAGCTCCTCATGGTGGTCAGGCAGTGGCACGGACAGCTTCCTCTTGAAGGCCCTCAGTTTCTCCAGTGACGCATTTATGCCCTTCTCACATCGCTCCCAGTTCTACATACACACACACACACAGAGTAAGAATCAGAGCATAAAACACACACATACATACACACTCTAACACACGCACAGACTGCAGAGCTTCTTGTGCTCAGTGAAGTTGTTATGAATTCTTCCTGCAGCAGCAACAAAGGCATCAGTACGGATAAACTGCAGAATACATAATAATAAACACATACATACATACAGTACACACACACATCAACCAACAGCTGAAGTCAGTTATCATGCCGTTAGACAGCCCACTCAGCTCTGAACCTCCAAAGCAACACCATGATACAGCAAAAAAATCCAACAGCCAAAAGAAGAGAATTAACACAGCTTCGTGACAAAAAAGGGAGGTTCTGCTCCAAAGGGCGCAGATTAAAGCTATTTATAGAGTCCGGTCCAGTTTGGGGTAAAACAAGGGTAATATTTGGTAAGAAATGCTGCAGCTAAGTGGCATACCTGAAGCAAGAGTCATGGAAAAAGAACAGCCAGGGTTAGGACTAGAATAGCTACGGTAGCTGCTCTCTAAGTGCAAACCAAGGAGGACAAAGAGAAAGAGAATAACTAACACTGAAGGAGAATAAGAAGAATGGAAAAAAGCAGAATCCCCAGATGCAGCTTTTAAACTGCGTCACTCAGTCCCGTTCGAAACAGGGCACAATCACAGCCTGCAAAATCTCCCTCGCAGGGTTGAAATCACTACAGATCACTGCACAGTGTCACTTTGCATGTGTTTCTGTGGTTATGTGCTCTGAGTTGGCACTTTTTTTTTTTGTATCTTTGTGCCATTTTGTAATGCTTGAGTGTGAGAAGTGTGTGTGCAGATGCTTAGCAATTAATCTGGGAACAGAAGTCAGTGTGCTTCATATCTGCCCTTCATTTCTTTTCAGGATTAAAGTGCAGCGTTGCATAATTCATGCGCTAACCTGGTTTCAATGTCCTGCATGCACAACTGGGCAGCCTCATTAAGTGCTTAGACGCCCTTCAGCACCCTTCAACAGCACCTTTATGCTGCATCATGGTAAAGACACAGTTTGTAACCTAGCCTCCAACACAGATTGTGCTCAAATGACACTTCACATACTGCAATAGTTCAAGATGTCCCATAATGCAGCGCTGATCAGTGATCATTTCACCCTAAAAACTGCCATTGTTACAATGTATTGTAATGTTAACAGAGAGGTTTCTAATGCTGCCAATGAGAACAGAAACCTGAGAACAATGAGTCAACAAGTTTAAAATTAAATTAACAAGACACCACAGTCTGTAAAGGGCCAAAAGAGCAACAAACCAAGAAAGAAGTATAAAAAAACACTTTTTTCTGACCTTAAGCAAGCCATGCAGCTCCCTCCTCTGCTGGTCCAGGCGGTGGTGGGCGTGCCTCCACCGCTCCTGAATCTCCATCAGCTCTGTCTGCAGTGTGGACTCGGCCCTGGCGTCGGCTGACAGCAGCAGGCTCCTGCCGGCCTCCACCGTTAGGATGTAGCCTCCCTGCTGCCTCTGGAGCACTCGCTCCTTCAGCTGGAGGAGGAAAGACAGGGACGGTGTGCAGACGGGATACAGGTTAACTAAGGGAATCTAAGGTTTGCAGGAGGGGTTAGGGTTTATTAGTAGAAGGTTTAGATTTGCTTTAGGTCAATTTAGTGTTTAATTAAAGTAAGAAGTTTAAAGACAATAAGTAGGAGGAGTATTTTTTTAAATGGGATATATGTTTGTAAAGACTGTGTGACCTCATAAATGATGCAAACTTTTCAAACAAGCTTTTTGAGAAACTAATTAGTTCAGGGCAAAGTGGGAAAGTGTCAGAGACTGAACCCATCCATCACCAATCTCATCCACCTTCTATTTACTTGAAATTATTTTTAATTAGAATTGTGATTTGCAGAGATAATAAAGAATAAATATTTCAGACAAACTAATTTAAGAGAAGATTAGAATAAGGTGATGAATGAAGGGCTATAAAAGCTCCTCTATAATGTTTTAACCTACCTGTATCTGATCTAAAAGGTTTCTGGCTTGCTGCAGGGCGACTGGTTCTCCTGGCTGGTGTACATCGGGATCACGGGTCACTTCTTGGAGCCATTGTAGCAGCTTCTCTGCCATCTCCCTGTAGTTCTGCCACTGGCGGACCAGACTATCAATAATGCCCCTTCGCTGCTGGGCCCGTCTCACTACACCCTGCCACTGATTACTCAGCAAGGCCAGCTTCACACTGAAGTCATCTCTGTTGGACATGAGTGAGAACAGCATGTAAGCTCCTCAGAGCTGGAGACATTTCTTTTAACAAGATAGGTAAAATTGTTACATAGGATTGTATGTTTACCCGTCATCCATTTGTCCCTGATCCAACATACGATGACCATCACTGATGATGGAGTAAAGAATCTGTTGCCTGCTGAACATCTCTGCCTGGAACAACTGCAAGCACCACAAATTTATATTAATAACAACACTGTACAAACAACGACAGCAATTAGTACACATGTGCTTTTAATGCCTCTCTTACCTCATGGTCTCTCTGCTGCTCCAGCAGACTCTGGTAGTTGCCTGAGATCTCTGCCGCCAGCTTCTGTTCAGTCTGAGACAAGAAGTCCATCCACGCCTCACACTTCTGGAGGAAAGTCTGCTGCTGGAGCAACACTGCCTGCAGTTTGCTGGAGAGACAACATTAACATAAAAGAAGATTAGTACCTTTTTATAAGAAGAGTTTTACAAGTTTTTACCACTAACTTTATTTTTCCATGGCTCATGTGTTACAGATTACTAATTATAATGCATAAATAATAATAATGTATGAGTTATGTAAGCTCATATTTAAGTGAAGGACACATTTGCATATACTTCTGCTTAGTCTTTTTTAGCAACTTCTTTATTAGTCAGTAAGGAACTTGTTAACCTTCTACTTTCTGACAAAATGTCCTGTCAAAAAGACATTTCATAACCCACCACCATTCATACCTGCAGGCTTGGTGGCTTAATAAAAAGTTAAAAACATAGGACCTACACCTGCAGGCAAAACATTAATTTTGTAATATATTCATTATAGTGGATTATGACAAATGTGTCATATTTAATTAATATCTTCAATACAAAATATTAATGCTGTTTTAGTGACAAATTAGAAATACCTACTTAAAGTATGGTAAAGTTATACATTAGAAAAAGAGAAGTAGAAGAAGCTCTAAAGCTTGTAAAAAGACCCTTAAGAATGAAAGTTTAATGAAATCTTTTATAAAGGACAAAAAAAAAATTAATTTATGTGATTTCAAAAATGTAGTTTCTGACTTGCAGTGTGGTGGTCACTGACTGCTCGTTGCTGTTGAAGATTTTAGTTACCTGAACCTCTCAGTGAGGTGAGCGGAGTGAGCAGCCCAGGCTCTGTTGAGACTTTGCAACCGTTTAACATCTCTGTCACTGACTGGCAGTCTGTAAACCAACTCATTAACACGTTCCAGGTCTGGAGACAGACTGCTCAGCTTCAACAGGTGAACCTGGGAACATATTATTACACATTTTTAGTAGGGAAATATGGAAACACAGATGACCAGTGTTTTTGGTTTAAACGTACAGGATGTTCAAACACAGATAATACAACAGTAACCAAGACATCACTGTTTTCTGTACCTTCAATTTTTCCATACGTGTTTGGACCACAGTGAGCTCTGGTGAGCCGACTGGGTCCGACTCATTCAGCACCTCCTCAGCCTCCTCAGCCTTACGGATGAGTGTGTCCAGCTGCTCTTTGAAACCCTCACAGGCCTGAGATCCAGACTACAACAGTCCAACAGACACAGTCAGAATACAGAAGTGATGGCCTACCAATCACATCCCCCTTATTCATACAATAGGGTTGTTTGTGGGAAACAGAGATGTGTATGTCATTCCGCCTATGCCCACCAATCCCTGCTACCCTACCTGCAGTACTTCCTGCTGCCTGTGAAGGGCGTGCTCCAGTGTTGCTAGGCGATGTGTGAATGACAGGTGGTCGGACTGAAGGGCCGCCGAGGAGGAGGCGTCAACTTGGCTCTTCAGTTTATCCCCTAAAGCCTGCAGCTGCTGAAGGGACTGCTGCACTGATGCCTGGTCACCGAGGCACGCCTGCAACAGTAAAGGCATCAGAGAGAGGCAGGTTAGGGACAGAACCACTGAAAGTTCACAGGCAGGACTACCAATGCATAGGTAATAAAAAACATCATGGAGAATAGATTTTGTAAGCCTTTACATATTAAAAAAATGTCTGCATTCAAGAGAAACATATTTATATTTTGGTGTTCATGCAGTAGGGTGAAAGGAGTCAGATTGCCAAAGAATGGTAGATTTTTTTCCAACCCAAAGAGAACCACGTGATCCTTTTGCTGAAGAATAAATGCATTCAGAATAAGTAAAACAGGTGTTTTGTGTAGAGCTTTCTTGTAAAAAGCTTCCCAGAAAGGACAGCCCCATGCACCAACGACAATTACAGTTCTCAACCACTTAGTGTTTAGCAACTGCTTATAAGTGATCCTCAGTCAAAATAACGGTCTGCTTACAGACAGACAGCTTACAGGACAGTGTGTCTCTAGACATCGCCCAGCTTGGCCCTACAAGCCCAGTGTGACACTGGGGGACCCCTGTAGTGTAAATCAGGGGCCTGTCTTTCCCTTTGCAGTCTCCTTTTCAAAAGGCTTTTGTTAGATTGTGCTGTGAATCTACATTCAAGCAGACAAAAGGACAGGGTGCAATTTGGTATTCTGCAGAGGGGATAGAGGCATTGTGAATTCCTATAGTGAGCTGACAAGCTGTTTTGGGGTTTGTTCACAAGACCAAAGGAGATGAAGGTTAAGCAGGACAAAATATATTTTAAGCCACATAAAATGTAGATGTAGTAATAATCTAAATCCAGATCTGGGTCCTCCTACAGAAGATGTTTAATGACTAACTATGACCTATGAACTATACTGCTGACTGGAATTCTTTTTCAAATAATCATATACTGGACTAGTGTGTTATATTGTCCCATCTCCACCCACATTGCAGTCCTTTATCCAGGCGCTGCTCTCCTCCTCTGTGATCTCCCTGTCGGTGGCGCTCTTCAGCAGGCGATCCGCACGTTCCTCCTGTTTCTGAACCACCGTCACACACTGGCTATACAATATCTTGTAGCGTTGCCACAACCCCAACAGGGCTTTACTGCTCCTCAGCTGCTCTGAGATCTGCTCTAGTAGACTGTTCCACCTATAATGGAGGAGGAGAAACACAAGGTTATATACTGTCTTCAGCTCAGAAGATAGTTGATGACAAGGATTACAGCTGCAGTTTGATTTAAAGTAACTCAGAGACGTGTTTTTATCCACACCTGATGTTGACGTCCCTGAGGGCTCTGTTGAGTGTTTCAGCCACTGACGGGTGGCACTCTGTCAGCAGCTGGTGTGTTACTGAGCCAAACTTCCTCAGACTGCTCTCTTGTTTATCCATCTCCTCCTGCAGGTTCTTAAAAACACAACCACTAAAAGTTAATTTTCATATTCAAGCGTTTGTTAAATTTGCACAACATATGCTGTTTATGCTTATTGACAGTTGTCTTTTGATCACTGTGTAGATGTTCCTTTTCACAATGACTTTCAAATACTTTGAATAACTTTATGCACTAACTCTTACAATTATTTTCAGGGTGTGCCACTTTTCCAAAATAAAGAGGGCAGTCTATTTTCTACACTCCTCACCTCCAGACTCTCCACCTGCTGCTGCACTGCCTCTAGAGAACCATTAAGGAGGCACAACCTGGACACAGAGTACCTCCCCTCCATCAGGTAACCATTAATCTCCTCTGAAGCTCGCCGGTAGAGGGTCCACTGCTCCAGCACCGACCGCAGGCTCACCTTCATCTGACTTATCTGATAAGAAGATGGGAGACAAAGCGTGTAAGTTTCTTACACCACAATGGAAAAGTGTAAGCAACAACCTTGAGGGTAAGGGATCCAAGAAGCTCACCATGTGGTCCAAATGAGCCCAGGATTGGTTCAATCCTTTGAGGGTCTCCTTGACAACAGAGCAGGCTGCTCCTTTCTTATCTTGGATAAGAGCATTTCCACGTTCCTCTGCTTTCTCTAGATCCTTCTCTTTTTCCTTCACCAAGTCCTCCAACTCCTGCAACAACAAAATAATTATTTTTACAGACATTATGAAAACTCAAATTGTGCGTGGTACACATAGCTGCGCTTTGTGTTTGCATACCTGACAGTCTTTAAGCGCATTCTGCACCGATGCTACATCCTCTATCCTGTGTCTCTTCTTCAGTTTCTCCTCTTGTAGTGTGAGCCAGGTTTTCAAGGCCTGAACTCCATTTTCATGCTCCAACCAACCTTCCAATAGTCCTTCCAGTAGCTGAATCTAAAATATAAACATAATTCAGAACTTAAGAAAACAGCAAACTGAAAATATAAGATGATAACATTTCAGTTGTAATTTGTTATATTAATTCTACACTGTGACTGAAACATTACCTTTTCAGTGATGAGCCCCTGTAGTATCTGCCATCGTCTGTTCATTGCTCCCAGCTTCTCAGCAAAGTCTGTTTTGTCACTGCGCTTTCCTTCAACATCCTGACTGCTGATCTGCAGCACTGACTGGTTTACAAAGTCCACAGTCAACTGCTTACAGGTCAGATCTATGCGGAAACCCTGTGAAGTAGTAGTAGAAGAGTGGATTAGAGAAAGAGGGGTGGCTAAAGGTTGTTAATTCACTTTCTGACAAATAACATGTCAAGCTCTTTAGCAGCTTCACCAGAAGGGAACAACTATAGAACTCTTTGGGTGTAAACTGTTTTGTACCTTATACTTCTGCAAGAAGTTCTGGACCACCTCTGAGCCTACAGCTCCCAGGATTTTGTCCTGGTCTTCTTCAATGATGTTCTCCATGAGAGAGATCCAGCTCATCAGCTCTGTTATGGCGTGCCGTGATGCCAGCTTCTCCATCTGCAACTAAGTGACGAGAGCAAAGAGGTTACAATGTTATAAAAAGCCATAATACATAAGAAATTACTTAAAACATTATAACTACATTGGGCGACAGCTGATAAGCATTAAAGTGTTACAGACCTGGTGTAGCTTCTCTTGTACTACAGGAATATGAGTCAACAGCTCAGCCCACTGAGTGTCAATCTGGCCCAGCGCTGTCCTGAGACCAGCTGTGTCTACTCTTTTCAATCGCAGAAGCTGGTTGCCTGTGCTTAGCACAGATGAACGCAAAGACGACTTAGCATCCACCTCTTTGGAAAACTCCTATCAGAAGCAAAAAGGACAGTGAGAGAAGTTGGAATCTAACCATCCATTCATTAACATATAGGATATTGATATGTGTGTGGTTAATTTTTGCTGCTCATGTGATAACCAAACTAACCAGGAAGGCGTAGAGGTGGTCTCTGACAGTCTCCAGCTCCTGAGGCACTGTCACTGACTGGGTTGTCCAGAACTCCAGCCGGTCCAGAGCCGACTGCAACCAGTGGCTCAACTCTGCTGACTCACTCTGATACCTGAAATTTATACACAGGACAAAATACAATATGTTGATTTTGTTCTGACAGCTTATGAAAGATTTAGGGTATAGTTTTCACTGTATTCAGCCTCCAGGTATCACAAACAGGCTTGCAGACCAAAGCAATTTGGCTGACTCTCATAGCTACATAATTTATTTGAGATCTGACACTGGCATACAAAACAAACTCAGATCATTGTTAGACCCTGACCTGCTCCAGTGTTTTAGTGTGGAATCGAGGCGGTGCAGCTCCTTGTTGACCTTGGTGGTGGAGGAGAGCCAGTGTTCTCCCAGCTGCGTCAGCTGGTTCTCCAAGTCTGAACAGCCAACAGACAGAAGAAGCTTCTTGCCCTCCTCCAGGACCTGGTACAACTGGGGCTGATGCTCCGTCAGGCTGGCCTTCAAACGCTAGAGGAGAGGACAGATGGATAATTGATGAATTACAGATTCAATATTCTAACAAGGAGGCTTGACTACAGCTTTCAGGGTAAGTCAGATGACATCTTTATACTGCATGAATGCATTTATTTGTGCATTTGTGTGTGTCCAGTCTGTATAAAGTTCCTTGCCTGGTAGAGACTGATCCTTTCAACAAGTCTTTCCTCTGTCTCCTCAACCAGGCCTACAGTGGGGATGCTACACTCCACAGCCTCCAGCTGTCTACACAGAGCCTGGTAGTCTTCCACAAGCCTGCTCCAAGACTGTCAAAAAGAGAAGAAAGAAGAGAGGCGGTGAAGTTAATGTATTCTACATGTTGTTTCATTCAACTGAACTGTACTGTTATTATTTGCTTTCTTTTCTATTAATCACTCATTCCTACCTCCAGTATGCCCTCCAGCTCCACCCCCCTCCTGTGGGCCTGTTTGAGCACACTGTGGGCTAAGGCCATGGTCTCCTCCAGGGTTTGGCTTTCCCTCTGCGCCACCAGACCAGACACTTTACTGTAGAACGTCTGTGTGAGGATCATATGGCATTCCAGACCCTGGAAAAACTCCTGTATTAACACGGAAGACAATGTTAGAGAAGATAAATCTCTAAATGAACAACATTTATTGCATTTCAGAGCAATCCCACCCACTCTCACCACCCTCCTTACTTTGTGTTTGTCCAGTAACATCTGGACCTCTATGACAGAAGCCACTGTCATCTTCTGATCGGCAGCCATCTTGTCCTCGGCGGTGTCCACTAGGTCTGTGAGGTCATGAAGTGCAGCTTCATACTGAGCCTTAAGAGACAAGCCGTGGTTCAAGCTGCTACGCCTGGAGCCCACCATCAGCACCAGCTCCTCGTATGCATCCTACACAAAGTCATTAAGTATTATGGTGCTGGGAGGCAAAGTGGAAGAGAAAAATAAATGACCTCCTCTGAGAACTTGATGTTACCTGTAGTTTGAGAAGTTCCTGGTTGGCGATTTGGTCAGACTGGAGTGCTTCTGCTCTGGTCTTCAGCTCAGTCAGTCGCTGCTCAAACTCTCTCAGACTCTCCTCCACCTCTGATAATGTCTACAGAAGATGCAACATATTTAAAGAATATGCCAGGAGCTATTTCCCATTCACTGAACCTGTGGGATTTATATAATTTGTATATTTTGTGTATCTGTCCTTGGTTGGTATCATACCTCTATCTGTTTGGATGCAGGTCTGTCCACAGTTCCAGCCATCTTCTGCAGCAACTGGTGTTTACTTTCACTCAGAGCTGTGAACAGCATCCTCAGTTCATTCTGGCAAGGACAACAGAAACAATGTTCACACTAAGTTAGGCAAAAAAAAAAATGATGCTCCAAGTTTGATCAAAATCAGACTGGTGGGTCCCCAGTCACAGCCATTGTACCTGGAAGGTTGAGTGTTCCTGCAGCCTGTCCCTCATGGCGTCACAATGCTGTTCCAGGGTGGAGTCCAGCAGCCCCATCCTCTCCTGCAGGCCATCCAGTGTTTCCTCCATCAGGCCTTGCTCATCTCCCCCACACAGCCGGCCCGCTCCTCCACCCAGAAGGTCTCTGGACTGGTTTACCTCCCTGGTCATCGCCTTCAGCTGTTTATTCAGATCCTGAAGAGAAGAGCTGAGGTCAGTAACAAAGCTAGTATATTGCATCCAGAAGAGTTTTAATTGTGTTGTCATGTGTTCAAACTCCAGTTACCAGTGTTACTACATACAAGTGTCTTTAGTACCTCCAGATTTTTAAGTTGTGTCTCTGTATCTTCAGACAGCAGCACAGGACCAGAGAGCAGCTGATTCTCAGCAGCATCCAACCAGGAAGAAGCTGATGAAACTGCAGCATACAGGTCCTGCTGGACTGTTGTCCCTCCTAAAGACCCTACCAGTTTATGGTCACCACTCGCTGCCTGTGGGGAAGAACAACGAATATTTGCTCAGTACATTGAAAGCTGTTTTGTTCTTTACCAAGGACACAGAAAATCCTGGGAATAATGAGAGTTTAAAATGAGGTAGAAAATCTGTCCTTCACCTCTTGGGCAAGTCTTTCCAAAGTCTGGCTGCAGGCCTCAAACAAAGCCCCGGGAGAGCGAGAGCCCTGGTTGGCAGACTCGCCTCTAAACACCATACTAGGACTGGACAGACGGGATCGGTGGAGGATCTGCACACAAGTGAAAAATGAGAACATATGAAGGTCTGACCGGCAGCAAACATAACAATGAAGGTGTGAAATTACATGAGAGGAAGAAGAAGAACTAACAAAACATCAGCCTTAAGTTGGAGTCAAAACACTGCAATTAAACACTAAACAACATCCATTAAAAAAGACAAAAATCCACAATGTATGGCATGTGTACCGGGCTAAGCTGGTCCTGCTCCAGGGAGCTGAGGGAGAGCTGAAGCTTCGTGCTCTGATCTTTATTCAGGTTTTCCCAGCGCTGTCTTAGCTGGTCCAAAGGAGACACAGTCTCACTCTCCAGCAACACTCCTCCTGGGATGGACACCTCACTGTGGGAGAGAGAGTGTTGTGTTGTCAATAGAGACTGATATCTGATCCCTGGAGTGTTGTTTTATCAGCAAGTTCCAATATGATTAAAGGTTTACCCAACTTTTTTAAATAAACATGTAAAAATAAATAGACAGAAGCTACTTAACGAATAAGAATAAATAAATAAGTGTGAGAAGAATAGAGACAGGAGAAAAAGTACCTGTCTCCATTGGGTGTGGTCTGTTGGCTGAGTAACTCTTCTCCAACATTGGCTACTGACTGGAGCAGCCTCCTCTGTTCAGCTACTTGCTCCTGCAGCTCCTAGGAAGTCAGCATGCAGCATTTAGGCCATTATATAAAGGAGTTATATAAGATTTATTTGAAACAAGTATCCACTTCCTATCTGAAATTGTTCCAGACAATCTTAAGAGTGGTCGGCCCTGTTAAATATAGAAACTATGCAAACGGTTTAGCCTCCTCTTACCCTCTGCCGAAGAAGGTTGTTGTGATGCTGCTGTGTGCGTGTCGATCTGGCCTGGGAAAGCCATTCCTGGACATTAGGACTCTGAGACAGAGACGAGTCTGGCTCACTGTCCTCCTGCTCTTGCAATGAACCCTGGGAGATGCCAAAGAATTTATTAGGAGAAAAAGTGAGTTTGTGCAGATGTACATAAACTTAAGTGACATTGTCTTCATGATATTCATTTCAGTTACGTGAAGTCCAGCTGTCAACTGTGTGTGAATAAATCTGTATTTTTAAGTATTAAAACACGATATATGTGTATATATACACACTAATCACATTGAGAGTGATGCCAGCATTTCAAATATTTCAGACAAATAACCTGTTGTAGTTCCTATGTACTGTAGAGTGATTTATGAATGAATGAATGAATGTCTCTATTTACTATAAAAGCACATTGAGGGGAGGCCAGCAAGGGACTTTTCCTTTAAAGGAAGGATAATTTTCAGCTGCAAGTGAGAAATTTAAGAGGGAATTGAGTTGATTTTCCCAAAAGGGAGAAAACCACAAAGCAAAAAAGACCAAACTGTTGTGTCATCAGAAACACACCTGATGCAGTACATTTAGTGTTAACATGTGATGAGGTAGCATCCTTTTGTCTGTTGTTTGAGGCCCATTGTGAGACACACAGGCCCTTGTTGTTCCATCGTGGAAAACAGTGGACTTTTATGGAGGAGCATGACACAACCTTTAGTATTCGCACAATACTACCATTGATACAGTTACACAGTGTCACATAATGCAGTGCATCACAACAAAACATACACAGAGGCAGGGAGGAAGGAAAAGCTGGAAAATGGACAAATATGTGGGAATGTGTAGGGGAAGGGAACTGAAGGCAATAAGTGAGGACAATAAAATGGATGGTGGGGAACCAAAACACATGACCCCTGATCACACCTGTATGTCAACTTGTTTGTCCTGAAGCATCTGCTGCAGCTCCATCAGGCTGTCTTTGAGGGAGCGCAGTTTGAAGGTGAGTTGCTCCGCTTCTCCCTTGGTCTCGGCCCGGCCCTCCAACAGCAAGCTCTCGCTGTGGACGGACAGCTCCGACAGATACGACACTTTCTGCTCGATCTCAAACAGCATGTTCTGGAAAGGCAAAGAGTTAAATGAACAAACTGCAACCTAAAATCTTAAGCAACCATCTCATCATAGTCCTGAATGTTTGCAGTAATCTCAGAGCGTCATTCGTGGATCGATTAAACCAAAGTTACCTATTATATCACTTTTCATTTCACTGGTATTCCTCTATATTTCAGGATGCCTGACAAAGTGTATTATCTCTGAACCATGATGTGTAATCACAACATGTATATATATATATATATTTCTTAACATTTAAGAGCTTTACTTTGATATTTAAATTAAGTTTTTTTCCTATTTCCTATCATTTTTATTAATGTCACTACTCCTCATATTCATCCTGCCAGCCTATGTGGGGGTCCTGAGCCATAGGTTGGGAACCATTGTTGTAAGTGACTGACAGGTGGAACTCCACTAAACATAATGAAAGGAACTTTTAGGTCTTTGTAGTATGAACAGCATACATTCAGAATCCTTCAGCTCATTGTTTATGCATCTCCTTTTCTCATTCTTCTTTTATTTTTTTAAAGAACTCAAAATCCTTTTGAACATATCCCACTCACTTTCCTCTTGCATTTCTGAACAAGAGAAACAACAGAAAAAGAGACCCTCCCTTTCCGTGTCCAGACTGTGTGTGAAAAGTGGCACAATTGTATGGAGGTGGAAAAGACGGGGATTAAGGTTGAATCCCCTTCTTTCACACAAGGGTACAAGGGCTCTTGGCAGGAATGAGGACGTAACTCTCCACAGAGAATTTCTCCCAACAATTGGTGTGCCGCCATTGAACTCTTTTCCATCTATCCAGTGCTGCCACCGTGTCATTCATTGTGAAGGTTGAGAACCTCTGTTTATCCAGCTTACAGCGTGTTGATGTTCTCGTGTTCAAATAAAGGGATTGTGATTGTTCAGTGAACAGTTTACAATAACTAACAAAGTTAAATTAGCCAAACAAAACTGAAATGCAACTGAAACTGAAAATAACAACAAAAAAGTGTAGAAACCCATTTATCTGATACGACATTTAAAAAACCTTTTATATTGTTCCCCTTCTTTTCATTCCTTGATTTTCTCCACTTCAATTTCTTCCCTTTCTCTCGACACTATTTCTCACTTCATCTCTCTAACCTCATATTATTTCTCACCATTGGATCTACACTCTAATAATCTACACTTCCAGACAGTTTTTACCCCCTGGAGATGAGGAATCCACATGGGCCGAACCTTCAGACCTGAGCTCCACAGGAGCCATATGTGAGCTGTAATCAGCTTACTGTCTCTCGACTGCTTTTGCTACATTTCCTTTTGCCTGAACAACAGAACTAACATTATTACTGATGAGGAGCCAGTTATGGTGCAATCGCAGGATGAATGTAGATATTTATTCATATCAGTTTTGGTATTAAAGAGTTCAAGTTAAAAGCTTTCACAAAAAAGCTGCCAAAACACCACTTGTTAGACCATAACTAATTCATTTAATACTTCAGTTTAATATGAGTCAAAGTACACGCATAAAAGCCAACAGAACTAAATATAAGTGTCAGAAAGTTAGAAAAGAGATAAACTAACTTATCTCTCTTTACTCAGACATTTATTTGGAATAACTGGAATATAATTTCCTACTTCAAAGACCTGACTAAAATCTTTACAAGGAAATGTGACTGTGGATCAGTAACCACTGCTAATCATTTAGCAATGGGTGCTAATTACCCAGAAGATAAAGGTGATGTTACCATAGAAACAGGATGAGTGGGGTAACAACACTTGGCTCGTGGAAGAATGTTTGAGGGCTCGTGAGGAGAGTAATCAGAAAGAGATACAGGGTCAGACCTTAATCCTAATCCCAATGTCTTAATCCTACAAAAGTGCCCATTTATTGGACAATAGAAGCCTCCGATTCTGTTCTGGTCTGAAACAGTCCCATATTCAGTTTTTTTTAGGGTGAATTGCAGTTTATACGTGACTAAAATAGCAACGGTAATATTATACCTAGGGAATAAATCCAAGCATAGGCCCTATTTCTGGAACAGTGAAGCAGCCAGATACTTTAGCCTTTGATAGCTCCCTCTTAATAAAACAGTAGCATACACACTTTCCTACAACGCCTAAGGCTGGTGTAGGAATTCAAAAGTTCAGTTCATGTATCAGTTGAGGACAACTTTAAAAATCTGCACGTCAGGAGAGCAACAAAATGCACACCGTCCACCAATATTCTTCATCAATCTTAATTAACCAAGCTCAAGATCTTTCAGCACCTGTGCAGCCTTTGACGATTGCAGAAATGTCTCACCTGACAGTCGATGAGCTGCTCCTCCATGTCCAGGTCTTCGTTTAGAGGCTGAAGGGCAGAGCTCAGAGTGGCACGAGTGCTGAGCAACCAGTGGTCGAGCTCCTCGGCCTCACTGTGGTAACGCTGCAGTGCCTGTTCCTGTCGCTGCTCTTCCAGCTGTTCACTTAGTTTCTCCTGCAGTGGTCAAAGTGACATACATGTCAGATTCGGTGTGAAAAGTTTAGTTGAAATAAGAATAAAAGTATGCGAGTTTAGGAGATGTATATCATCTTTGAGCGCCCACCTCCAGCAACTGCCTTTTCCCAGAAGCCTTCATTCGAATGGTGGCCATCCTCTCTCCCAGCACGGTGAGAGTAGACTGGAGAGCCAGTTGGTCACCGGGCTCCCCATCGCTGTCGCTGTCTGCCAGCTCCTCGGAGAAACACGTCTGTAACTCACCGATCTCGTCCTGCAGCATCAGGATCTCGTCCATCAGAGCCTAAGGCGGACAGACATCGGAATAGTGTGAGAGGAAGAAGAGACTGACAAGAAGATGGCGAGTAAAAGAGGGTCTGTCCAAATTGCCTGGCAGAGTCTTTACAAAAAGAAACTGTATCAGCTGTGGCTGTGAAGTTGGCATAGCAACGGAGAGCAGGGCCACCCTGTCTGTGCAACCAGTGCATGGGTTGGTTCAATATTAAACCCCTCAATCATTCTCTGTTTGTGTTTTTTCAGATTTATCTTTCCCCCCAAAAGACGTCTTCTACTTTGAGTGTTATTATGTGTACTGCACTCCACGCCTCCTCTCTCTTTCCCCATCACAAACACAAGTTCCCCCAATATCTCAAGACCTCTCTGTCCCCCTCTCTCTCTCACCTGGTGTGCAGCCATCTGGCTCTCGGGGCTCTTATTAGGCTCCAGGCCCTCGTTGAGCGCTCCCTCGATGGACTCCATCTTGGTAGAAATGGACTGGAGGGACTCCTGGTAATGCTGCTGCCTTTCCAGAGCCTCATAAAGACTTTTCTGCTTCTCGCTGATCTTTGGTGGGAGAGAAGAGGTGGAGAGAATAAGAAAGAAATGTAAAAAAAAAAATGTATGATGGCGAAATCAAGATGGCACTTGGTAGCAGAGGTATATTTTCACTTTCAGTCCCAATTTAGTGTAGTCTTACTAAAGATACACTGCTCCCTGATTTTATGATAACTTTCTGATAATGTCCCAAATCCTAAACCTTTATCCATGTTCAGCTGTGAATTGTGTTGAACAGTAAGTAATTAAAATCTATCTCTTTAACTGTTTTTCTCCACATAACTGTTTTTTTTTATATGTGAATTAATAGGTCATTGTAGCTGATGGTGTGACGTACCACATTCTTGAGTGTTTCCCAGGATCTCTGCAGGTCATCCAGGTTAGCAGCACTGGTCTCCATAGACGGGTCGTACAGCTCTTGTAGCGGTGCTCGGCTTAGTGCACCTCGACCCTGTGGCACAACAACACAGTGAGTGTAGGTTTCAATAGTGTGTGAGAGCGATGTACAATAGAGGGTGTGCTGATATGTCCTTATGTCCTCAAACATACAGTCAACAATGAATATGAATGGCCACATTTGGTGGAAATATGCCGACATCTGCTATACATACACTCTGAACATGTGTGCTACTTAGTAATGCATTATGCACACATTTCCCTCGGAGTTTAAGCTCAAATGGCAACTATACTAAGTACGCCATGGGTTAATGGGTATGGTAGCTCTCGGTTATGGTAAATCAGGCCATCCACAAGCTCTCATATTACCACAGAAAGGGTATGGGCCAAAGTTAGGAGTAGTAAGCACTGTCTATAACCTGTGAGTTAAATCTGTTCTGTTCTTTGTAGGTTGTTTTCACTTCAGCAGCATCTGGCTGAGGTCCCATTAGATTAGTTTAAACTCTCTCCCATGATGCTTTCCTTCGATCACTTTCCAACTGCATTTGACCTTATTGATTCTAGTCCTCTTTCAACAGCTTAGACTCACTGACACATCACGAGACAGGAAAACACACATTTCACAATAATAGCTAAAAAAACAACAACTACGACCTTTGCTGTTTCTCAAAGCAGAACAAAGAGTCGAGTCATAAGTTACACACAACTTTATGCTAACTTAGCTTAAATGACACCTTCTCATTCTTATCTCAGCAAAAAAAGCAAGTGGCAAACTTAAATCTGCAAACATAATGTTGATAAATAAACAGGGAAAGCAGGGACAGCACAGCGACTCTCCAGCTGTTTCAAACATCCATTGTGTTGACAGTGGCGATGACAGGGGGGAGGTCACTGTTTGGTTTTGGGAATCAGGTGAAGCAGATGGGATGGGATGGGGTGCAGAGTTAGCATGTCCATCTTAAGAAGTCATATATTCACATATCTTATAGTAAGTGAAACAAACTAAAAACTGACAACAGGGTCTCATAATTCCAATACAAAAACTTCAATGGTTGTATTAATTCACTGGGCAAAATAACTGGAAATCAGTCAAATAATCTTATCCCAGTGGTAAATAGTTTCCAGTCGTTTTAAACAGAAGATGTTAAGACTAAATATTTGCTTGGTGACTCATTAAGATGGACATGTTTTGCTGCACAGGTTAAGGTGGTGTTTTCCTGTGATGTTAGACTGAGAATTTGAGGTGTTGTATGGAAGCTGGGCAGATAATGCTGGAGGGCTTTGGAGGTAACCAGGGTGGGGTTTGCAGTACCTGGTTAAGAGGAGCGTCAGCGTTAGCCCCTGGGGAGGGGGAGCGGCAGGCAGGGGGAGAGGAGACCTCGCTGTTGGTACCCTCCTCCCCTGACTCCTCCGTCACAGGGGAGAGGAGTGTGTGGCAGCGGCCGGCTGTCATCTGACCACACATACACACCGCACATCAAACGCGCACATCAAAAGAAGCAGGTGGAGGAAAAAGGAGGGAGGGAGGGAGGGGAGGGCAAAACAGAAAATGCCCAGATCAAAAGGAGTGAGGAGACGAAGAGCGAGGAAAATTAGGAGAGAGAAGAAGAGAGAGCATATAAATTAATGGGGGAGTGCAGGTTAGGCAGGTTGCAGTGAGCACATTGCTGATTAATTAGACAGCAAGTAATCAAATAACACTGAGAGGAGAGCAGTTTGATCAAATTACTGCTATTGACATCAAACACCGCAACACTTTTGCCGTAGCACAGCATTAAAGAGACATAATTCACTGTAGCGTTGCTCTGTGGTAGCAAGTGGACAAACACTGGATTCCACTAAGAATGAATGAGCAACTAGGATTTTCTTTCACAGGATACATCAGGGGAAAGGAATGACTATACCAGGAAGTAGAAAATCACATCATGAAGTTAAACACACACTGAAACTGCTCACCACACAGACGCACTCATACATACTGTAGACTTACGGTTTAAGAACCGCAGTCATTTCCTTTACATCACAGACACACTTCTATTGTAAGTAGCATCCAGACATTATCCTTATCCCAGACATAAGTTTTAATGTTTTCTTACATATTTAAGCTGTTTTACCTCTTTAAGTCCTCGAAAAGAACCACTCATACTGTCTGATACATACGCACAATTAGAAAATACATTAAAGGTATGTTTACAGTAAAAAAACACTATATTAACAGTAAGAAAAGATCAAGATCAAGGCCAGATTAAACAAAACATAGCTGAAGCATGGCACAGCTAACCGATACTGGACTAGTTAATACTGCAGCAGCAGTAGCAGCAGCTGTCCTAGAAGTAGCACAGTTGTCTGTGTGCCTGCATGCTTCAGTAGAGAGGCAGAATTGAAATGTGAGCCAAACCCTACTGGGCTGCTTTCTGGCAGTTAATGCAGAACTTGGCCGACCGACTCAGGACGTTGTTATATTCAGAGGACTTTTTCCCGGGCTTCATGATGCAATGCAACGCAACGAAGAGCATCAGCACACCGGCATGTGTGGGAAATTAAGTTTTTACATAGTAAGATTGGTTAGAGCCTGAGCAGTAAGACTGTGGTAACAATGAAACAGTACTAAATGTGTTACACAACAAGTAATCAAGGCTATCAGCTCTCCTAACTACCTGCCATACATTCATAATTATCATGCTCTGCTCACACACAAACACACACTCATGCAGTAATATCCTGTTTCCTGGCCTGCTGAGACCAAACACACCAGAAACAGCAGATACAGTGCAAGGAAGCGAAGAAATCTGAATCAGAAAAGGAAGACGCAGAGGAAAAGAAGGTAATGAGGCGGTTTCTTATGCACAAACACATAAGAAAAATGAATGACCAAGCTGAGGATGACATACTGTAGCAGGCAGACAGATTCAGGCTAATAAGAGCCGAAGTGAAGTGACACAGCACAGTATCAGCGCAGTGGTACACAGCCAGAATAGTAACACTTGAGGTGGAGGGAAGATGGGGGGAAAAAAGCTTGGGTTATTTCTGTCCAACACAAAAATTGGACACATAAAAGAAATAGAAGCAGCGGAACAGGATAATAATAGAGAAGAGAAAAAGCCTATTCTGAACCTATAGTTCTTATATATTACCTGTCATGGACCACTGTAACCTAATTTAGGATTAAATGTCATCCCAGGGGCCAACATTGTGGAAAAATGTTATATTGTTTGTTAACTTGGAGGTGAATCGCACAGGTATAACTTTGCACACTGTTGTTGAGGAAAATAAGAAAAGGGTTAAACCTGTAATCATAACTGCGACATCCTCTAATTTTGGATAACTTTAAACTACTAACATGATTGTGTAACTGTTAACAACTCTTTAGAAACCCCAAAAGGACCCCTGGGGTTTTCCACTTTGAGAACCAGTGGTCTGAACAGACAGGGAGAAGGGATAGAGGCGACACATGCAAACACACACACACACACAAAACTTGTGCCAGACAGGCAAATAGCCATCCAGTGTATACATGTGTGACTTTTATGGGTGATTGTGTATGTGTAGGCTTTGCCACTCACCATGACGACAGAGGGGTGTGCTGGAAGCTGCTTTGCAGCGGCGGCGGTGGCGGCTGCCACAGCACTGGGCAGCTCCTCATCACTCAGCTCGTCCATGCCGTCTGAAAGGCCCTCCACCTCGCTGACCGTCAGCAGCATGGTGGCGTGTTTGGCCTTCACTGTCAGCATCTTACACTTGGAGTGGAGCGAGGCGATCTGCTCCTGGTAGCCACGGATCTTCTGGGCCAGCTCCTGTCAAAACATCCCCCAGCAAACAGAAAGCACCACCACCCCCAGGGTCAGGAGAGTGTGGTTCAGTCCACAATGGAAGATCAATAGTTCCTGGTTAAATAAGATCCTGAAAAAAGGGGGTGGTTGAGTTGGTTCAGCGTTGAATGTGGTGCCGGTGTGACAGGAGTAAGTGGAGTGGAAGCATTCTCTTCTCCCCCGGTCTCTTGCTTTTGGCTGCACTGTGTATAAAGCGTAGAAAGAGAATAGCACTGCCTCACTCTCTCCCTCTTTTTTTCTCTCTCTCTTTCTCTTCTGTATCTCTGAGCCAATCAGAGCAGCACAGAGGCGGGTGACTCAGAGCAGTGGTGAAGCCAACAGACAGGATGTTTGGTTGAGAGAGACCCTCGCAGAAATAGTTCAAAATCCCTCAGACACTCCCTCTTGTACACATACACAAATGGCAAGGAAAAACAGGAAGTGATCTCACTGCCTGTAACCCCCCCTTCCTCCTGTCTTGCCGCTGCCCTCCTCCAACAATCCTCGAGGCAGATTCCTCTCAACAAAAGAGAAGCCGTAAGGAGAGAAGGAGTGTTTAAGGAGCAAAGAATGACATAGATGGTGTCAAATTACAGCCATGGTATGAGCCGGCAGGCCGGGTCCAGCTCCTCCTTCCCTCCCCCCTCCTCCTTCTACTCCCTCTGTCTCGCAGATGGTCAATGCACTGATAATCAGGTCATGTGACTAACTGGGCCAGTGGAGTTGCAGCTCTCTGCTCAGAGAGATCAAACTCAGATATAAACACAGTGCCATGCCAAGTCACTCCGCAGCACCGGAGGGATCGCAGTAAGAAGCAAAATATCTACAAGCACCTGGGTTCATATATTCCCTGTCAGGTAATGTAGTAGAGTAGATCAAATCAAGTTAAAATGTAATAAAATAAATCAGCTGCCTCTGAGGAGATCTGCTCTCTTTCTCTGCAGGTCTTTGCCTCTCAGTCTGCCACCCCCCTCCTTCTCAAACTCTTTCTCCACATGGGAGATCAAACACACTTACTCAGCAAAGTAAAACTGCAACCAAGAGTACAGGGCTTATATACCGCAGGTGAAAACCATCCAGCCTTCCACTCTGCATCAAACAGGACTCTATTTAGATTATATTTACATGTAGCATCAGATAAAGGAGGAATGTGAATGAGTTGGACGTGTAGGTGAATAACACAATATTCTACCTGCTTTATGTGGTGGCACTGCTCTGATAACATTATGTAAAAAAGGGGGATTAAATAAGCATTATTTATTTTAAGGGTTTCTGATAGTTTAACAGAAACATCAATTAATTGTCTGTTATTTGCATTTTGAATTAAGACATTGTCACAGTCTAATTCAGTCATAAGGGTTGCCTCTACAACACAACACAACTACTGTGAGATAAACAGTACATTTCCTGCTGAATCAACTTCTCTTTTTATGCTGTTTGAAACTGTTACAGACTACAGGAAATACATAATGACTCAAACTCCCCACGTCTACCTTGCTCTTGGCTCTTTGATGCTGAAGGAGTTGGCCTCATTGGAAAAGCCATTTTTAGACATCGGCATATTAATTTCTTTAAATGTCAAATGAAGTGTCCTTTGAGGCGAGTACCACCTTCTGTGGTCTGTTTTGTCGTGCCGCTGTTCATTCAGTGAATAAAAACTATTTGAACTATTTTTATTTAAGACTACCGTAATCTAAAAGTGCACTGTACAACCAATATATGGTCAAAATAATTAAGTTTTTCATGGTTTAGGCTCGGCCCCTTAGCTTCACTTTGCTTCAACTTTGTGGCAACAGTTTAGGGAAAACCCTTTCCTGTTTCAAAATACAAACTAGGTCAATAAAGACATTTTGTTGTGGACTGGCAGGCACGAAGCCCTGACTTCAAACCTATCCAACAACGACAGGATGAACTGAAATGCTAACTGTGAGCCAGACCTTATTGCCCAACATCAGTGCCATAATTCACTAATACTATTAATGGCTGAATTAGAGAAAATCCCTGCAACCAGGTTTCAAAATCTTATTTAAAAAGCATTCTCACAAGAGTGACGGCTGCAAATGAATTCCCATAGTTTGGAATGATAGGTTAAAAAAATCATCTATCGGTATAATGCTCGAGTGTCAACATGCTTACATTTTATTAAATAAAGTCTATGTCTTGTTTTACCTCATGGTGGTGTATTTGAGCCTGAAGTTCCTGTATGTTATTGGTGGAAACAGGCCGGTCCTGAATGATGCGGTGAGCCTCTTCTATTAATCTCTGGAGGTTCCTCACCTCCTGTTCATACTGCTCATACTGCACCACAGCCTCCTGGAAGAGAGGAAACATAACAAGGCAAGGCTGAAGCTGCATCTTTTGTAAAACAATCATAAAATGTGATATATATTATTGATCTCTGAAGGGAAATTATCACGCCTTCCCCTCCAGGGAGTTATTTCTTCCACTATGTCACAAAGCTAACCATGATATTGATTGTTATATGCACATTCTTTGTCTCTGTTTGTGTGTTATATGTTGTGTGAATATTCTAGGGTGCATTTATTTGAAGTTTAAACATACAGTACTTTTAAATATATAAAAAGGTATCTATAACACATCTTCTGCTCATTGTGGGCCTCTGAAGTGTGAAGCTACATTTCCATTATTATCTTAAACACCTTGTGTTTAAGATATGAATATGTATTAGGGCTGCCCCTGAAGAGGATGATTTGAATCATCAGTCGACTCGCACTTTGTCCGTCAGATCTCTGCACTTCAGTTTTTTAACTGTCATTGTCCAACATGGCAGGCTTTAAACTTTACAAACTGATTCTCAAAATGGCAACAATCCACAAAACTAGTTGTGGAAGCGGAGTAGAGTGATAGTTAATGGATGGCAGTGGTGCACTGGGATTTTATAACTGAACTATGAGCACAACATAAACTTTTATTTAAATTGTCAGATAGGCTAAAACATGGAATTTATGTAGGTTGACGTAGCAGCAGAGTCGGGTGCAGCCCTCATATGTATATAATCAATTAATCTCAAAAAGCCATATTAGACAGATAGATTCATTGTTTCAAGTATTGGTTAAAATGGTGATGTTTAAGGTGTTTGTCCTCCAGACAGTCCTAGAAGGTCACTTGATTCTTTCTCTAAAAGGCTAATCTTCACCACAATGAGCTTACAAGCAAAATCAGCGCCCCCCCCCCAGAACCAAAGGCTTGGAGGATAACACTGGTCTGATGGGGGCTCAAAGAAAACACAGACATTCCTGAGGAGGCTTGTCAGGGCACTGCAGTAAATTCACAGCAACTCTATCAGGTTACAAGTCAATGTAGAACTATATAACTCTTCTAACAGGGCAACAAAAGACCCAATATACACCATTACTGGCATAAAGATTCTCAGTTCTAGAGCAAGTACAGTAACATGATAGATAATTTGGTAGTTTTAGGGAAAAAAATGATAAACAAAATGTTATATAAATAAAAACTTCTCTAGGGTCTCTACAGTCTTATATCACATTGATTGGTAATGTCATACGTTGACAGGATAACAGTACTCAGCTCTGACCTAATATCTGACAGCTGATCAACAGAATTTGCAATATAAGGACTGCCCTCTACCTGCAAGATGTTGCACTGCTGGATGGTGGTATGCTGCAGTTGGCTGGCTTCTTGCTGCAGAGTCTGAGCTGTGCGGCAGATCGGCAGGCTGGCCATTACCTCCTCTGGTAGCCGGAGGGCGCTCTGACACTGCTGTACTGCCGCCACCTGCTGCTTGAAGCCCTCCATTTCTACCAACAGACGCTTATGAAGGGATGAAGGAGGATGTTAGAGAGAGGAATTATTGGGTATGTGATAAAGCAATGTTCAAAATAACTACTCTAAGGCTGCAGATCGACAGATTGTTTGTGGTCATACTGCAACTGTAGGCATGCATTGTGTGTACGTGCAGTATTCTCTCTTTTTCAAACTCTCTTTAAATGTTTATTATACACGCATGAAGCATAAATGTGTGTATTTTACCTGTCTCTGGGTGAGCTGCTCTCTGAGGCTAAGCCTGTTGAGGTCCGGGGAGGCAAGTGTGACCTGGATCTGGTCTACAGCCGCATGGAGGTTTTTCACCTCTGCCTCCAAACGCAACATGTCCTGAGGGGGAGACACAGACAGTCTCTAGTAGGAGCAGCTAACACTGTATGTATTGTAAACATATAATGTAGCTATTATACAGAGGAGGTAATAATGGATTGGAAACTATTATGGCTGTGGACCTGCTTGCAATAATAAATATTGAAATCACAGTTTCAAATCTCCACAGCTTAGCTAAATTTGAATTACAAATAAAGAGGCAGGCATCTCTTCATTTGCAGTTTCTAATTGACCTACCTGTATTTCATGTGGAAGCAAATAAAATTACCAGTCACTACAAATAAAGATAGTTCTGTGTCCACACTTTAGACTCATAAAAAATCCAAACTCACAGGAATTGTAAACAGATTTCCAAACACACAATGTTATTAGCAACAATCAGCAACAGACATTTGGGTCATTTGGGTACCAGCTGTATCGCAATCAGATTAACGTAACAGATTACAGCTGCACAAGCTAAAACAGTGCATTCCTTTATGGTTGTCTAATACTGGATGAATGACCATAAGGGGGCACTGTTGGGTTGTAGTTCTGTTATACTTGACTCGCTCCACTGTGCACAAAAACATTTGGATTCATGAAGTCCAATTAGTTAAATTTCCTAATGAAGATAATTTGATCAGAGATCCCTCAAACAATTTGGAGGTGAAGTATTATTGATGTCTGATTCCTGTAATGTCTGAAAGCGAATGCTGTTCACCTTTGCTGCATCCTGCAGACTCTGGAGGCGAGTCTTGGCAGTTTGCTGCAGCTCTTCTGTGCATCTGCTGAGGTGTTTCACCTGCTGGATCCACCCCTCCGTCTGCAACACTTCCCCCAGCTGCCTCTCCCTCTCCCCCATGGCTTCCAAGTCACCATGGAGACCCCGACACTCTCGCAGCAACGCCTGTCACCATAGGAACATAAATTACAAGTCAAAGAGAGCCTTTTATATGGTGCAATTATACTAATTAAGGACGGCCAACACACTGTACAGTATGACATTTCACTGAGAAATCAAACAAGTGTGCAGATCTAATTAGCTGTAAATTAATGGGGTGTCTTCATATTTAGAAGGTTAATGCAGGAAATAATATTTATTTTTGTGGAAAAATGAATATTAAATGCATCAGGGCCCAATTTTACAGAAGTTTCTGACATCTTTCTCCACTCCCTGCTGAGCAACTCATTAAAACTCACCTGGTGTGCTCGAATTTGCTCCTGCACCTGGGACGCAGAGCTCCAGATGATACTACCAGTGACCAGAGCCTCTGCCTTTTCTGTCCAGCCCAAAATGAACGCCCTCATACCCTGATATTCCTCCACCTGTCTCTCTGCCTGCTCACACGACAAAAGACCAAGATCAGAAAGACATAAGACTTAACAGAATCACTAAATATTGGCCATACAACTCTGACAATTATATAAAAGATGCAAGCAACATTGGGAACTTGTCTTTGTCTTTAGGATGGTCTACATGGCATGGTAAACTAAATGGACATCTCACCTTCTTCAGTCTGTTGGCTCTGTCCTGGACCTGCTGCGTGGTGTGGCGCTGCACCTCCGTCAGTTTGGCCACAGCATCGCCCAGCTGCTTACACAGCAGCGGGTTCTGCTCCCCGAACTCCTGCACCGCTACTCCTAACTCTGCTAGAGAGCGACCACAGCATTCACACTCTTCACAAAGAGCCTGTAAGAGAGGAGAGTAAGAAGGTGAGACAAAAATGGAAGATAAAGGAGGAGATGTCAAGTGGAGAAAGATCAAAGAACAAGAGGCGTTTAAATGTGGGTTGAATCTGTAAACAGTGAACTTTACATCCCCGGTGGCTATCTCTGTCTGTTTGAACTAAAGAACTGTGTTTTTCAAAGGAATAGTTTGACATTTTGAGACATACACATTTGCTTTCTTTCCAAGATTTAGATAAGAAGATACCACTCTGATGTTTGTGTGGTAAATACGAAGCTACAGCCAGCAGCAGCCGGTTAGCTTAGCATAAAAACTGGAAACAGCTAACCTGGCTCTGTCTGAAGATGACAAAATCCAACTACCAGCACATCTCAAGCTCACTAATTACCACCACATTATATCTTTTTTGTATTTGAACAAAAACCCAAGAAGTGCTGGACGCATAATGGTTAAAAATGACAAACTATTCCTTTAACTACTCTGGTCTTTGTGGTTCTACAGATGGACGAAGAAGTGAGAGAAGAAAAAAGTTGGGGCGACAAGAAGGAGAACAGGAGGGAAGGGGCTCAGACTCCCATCAGGAATACTGCTCTTGGAAGTGGGTCACTGTTGAAGGCAGAATTCAGTTCATGCCATTCCAACTCTCACACACTCATTAACCTCAACATCTGCAAAATGAATAGCCAATTTAACAGGGGTTAATTGCTTGTTAATTAGTCAATCTGTCTGGTTGATTACTTTGGTCTCTTCTTTGGCTTCCTCCAGGTCAGCACCCTTGTCTTCCAATTTCAGAGCGATGGTCTTCAGCTTCGCCTCAATGTCCTGGAGTCTGGAGCTGAAGTCCTCTTTCACATCTCTGGTCTGCTGCACCTCCCTTTCCCTCGCTTGGACCTAAAGCAGATAGCGGAAATACACACATTTCACTGTACTGTCAAAGAGACAACATAACCCTTTTAACAATTCTAAATGGTTATTGATGTTTCAGCATGCACTCTCTGGATACACAAAGAGCCCTGCAGCAGGGAAATACAGCCATACACCAGGCTGCACAGTAGAACTCATACAAGTGGCTGCCAGCTTTACACTGATATACTGTAAACTACATACAGTACATTTACATACCAGCAAATAGTTGGATCCTTAATAAGATAAACTAGAAACAAGTCAAAGTCAAAGCGTTTATGCATACTATTTGATTACAGACTTTGACACCCATTTGACACAACACAACATTTAATCTGTCACCTGGTCTTCAGCAGAGCCCAGAGCCAGAGTCACTTCAGCCAGCTGCATGCTGAGCTCAGAGGGCAGACCAGCCTGGAGGTCCTGGTACTTGGACTGCTGCAGCTCTGTCATGCGCTCCACACTCTGGCGCCTGCTGATAACCTCGCCATGTGCAGTCTATAACACCAAAAACATCACATGATGGACTACAAGTCACGTTATTTTCTCTTATGACATGATACTGCATTTATGTTGAACAAAGTCAGATAAACAAGAGCTCTGTACCTAGTTGACAAGGGCATTTTGGTTTGTCCTTGTGTGTAAGGTGTGTGTGTGTGTGTGTGTGTGTGTGTGTACATATAGTGGCCTACCTCTAGTTCTTGTAGCAGTGAATCCAGGTCTGCTGTAGGACTCAGCAGTAAGCCACGGGTATCTTGGATCCAGCCTTTGACCAAGCCTAGCTCCTTCTCAACTTCCTCTCTCTCCCTCAACTCCTGGTGTACCTGAGCTCTACTGGCTCGGACCCGCAACACAAGGCTAGACAAGACAGAGCGGTAAAAAATCATACAAAACAATTAAAATCTAAAAGGGATAATTATATAATACAATTATTTTAGTTTTTGCTCCCTGATCTTACAAAATTATGTTCAACTTATAATAAAGTAGAAATTAACAGCTTGTCTTCCTTCCCACAAAGTTTTTTCTTTCTCTTCAAAATTAATCATACATATAGTTTTTGAATGTACTGCTAGGAAGCTATTAAAATACATAGAACAAACTCATGTGGATGACAGGATCAGTCACAGTTCTGGGTCACTCACCTGTCATATTGCTCCTGCATGCTCCTGATCTCTTGTAGGCAAGGGGTCTCCTCATGTCCATTCTCCGTCTTTTTCTCAATCACCTCCTCCTCCTCTCCTCTGAGACTGCGAGTGTGTTGCCCCAGCAGGGCCAGGATGGACTGCTCCCTCTCCACCTCCAGGCTGAAGGAGTCATGGTACTCCAGGAGGCTCTGAAGTGCCGCCCTGGTGGCAGCCTTCTCAACTGTGCTGTCTGGGACACGACTGTGGAGATCTTGGGACACAGAGCGCACCTTCTCCATCTAAAGGGGAGTTTATGTACAAGGATTTAGGTTCAGGGGATGCAGCAGATTTAGGGTTTTATGTGAAATATTAGGTACTTAAATCTCTTCAGGTCTCCAGTAAATCCATTAATTAAAATAAAACAATGTGAGTGCAATTGATTACATGTGGCCCCACCTGTGACATTTCGTTACTTCACTAATAATCTTTGTATCTATAGTACACAGTATTCTCTGTGATAGTCAAAGGCAGAAACAAGTCTAGAGATTCAAGAGCAGAGAATGACATCATGTCCAGGAGAACAAAGAGGCCATAGAAAACCAGCGGACAACAGGAACAGTGCCACATATGAGGAAGTGACCACCATTCCTTACAGTTTGACCTAATTTCCCTTTTAAGAGCAGTGCTTTGTGGGAATTCTTGGGAGCTGACAGTGTTCACACTTGAAATAGGTCTAAAGGCGGGAAAGCGCTTCATGACACAGTGTTTTGGCAAGAGGAAACAACTGGCCTGAAGCCTGAAGTTACATCACTGCACACCAACTGGTATTCAGTTGCTGCGTTTGACCTAAATCTGGTGAAGCAAGAACAAATTTGTAGACTTGAGTGTGTCGGCTGTGAGTGTCATGCGAGCATAAACAGATTTTGTGGGTTGTGGGCATGCTGTCGGTTATTTTTACACTGTACATGTTCATTATTGAAGCGCACTCACCACACATCCAGTATGTACTTGAGCATGGAGAGCACACACACTCAAACAGGAAACCGTGGACAATATGACCAACACACATACACTATTATATCCTCTCTTACCTTCTCAGTGAAGTTGCTCCACTCCCTCGCAGTGTCCTCCAGTGCTCTCTCTTGGGCTCGGGCCACACTGCGGAGCCTGGTCCACCGTTGCCACAGTGACGAAACGGAGTGGCTGGTGACGGCTTTGCTGGCCTCAGAGATGATCTCTTCTAACTCTGTGGCAATTTCTTTCAAAGCATTCAGAGGCAACTCAAGCAGGTCGATGTGAGCCACCAGAGACTGCAGCCAAAAGATGACGACAGACACACAAACACACACACACACACAAGTCATTTAATAAATGCAGTAGTCTGAAACATTTATACTGTGGGAAACTAAAACTCTCCCCTAAAAGAAACAACTCTTGACACCACAAATGAACAAGGAATAATGCATAAACACTTCACTGTTTAATATTAATGTGTATCTGCTGCCATGACAAAACCAAACGTTGGAATTTAATGTAACAGCCATGTGGGACAAAGCACATGTACGTTTTTTTTTTCTGTTTTATGAGTTTAAGCCAGTGCCCCACCTTATATCTCCGACACTTTTCCTCTGCCTGCTGGACACTGACGGCTTTAGCTGTAGTGAACATGGCCATTTTGCTCTCTGCGTCATTCATTTGTTCAACCAGTGTCTCTTTCTCATGTTGGAAGGAGATCCATAGAGCTGCACAACTGAGAAAAAAAAAATTACCATTTAATTTATTATTAAAACATGCATCGTATGGACTGCACATGTCAGCTGTGTATACATATGTTACTTGGCTCCACATTATCATTAATACACACCTCTGAAGCACCTCTCTGTAAGCATCCAGTTGCTGTTCGACCTTCGTTTTTCTCAGCTGCATTGCGTCGACTTTTTCTCTAAGGTCACTCATCGCTCCTGCATCTATAAATTTCTGCAGCAGCGGATCCAAAGTGCTCAGCTCCTCTAGACCAGCTGTGAAGTTTTTTTCCCGGGCTGAAATTTCTTCCAGTTCCCGCGCACAATCTGTCTGGTTCTCAAGCTCCACCCCTGAGCTGGCCCTCTGGAGCACAGCCGCAGCAGAGTCCAGCCATGTCTGCATGGACTGCAGAGATAAGTGGTACCTCTGGACCAGAGAAAGAGCTTGGTCCACAGCCAGCTAGAATATGCAGAAGGAGATCTCATTAACTTCAGGTTTTGCTTCTTTTCTACAGAAATTCACACAAATGAAGTCAGCAAAGCTCGCCAAAATCACTGTCAGTCAAAAAATATTAAAGGAAACTGTGTCTGGACATAACTTCACTTCACTTCAACTGTTAGTTTTCACTGTAGTAATATGTACAGTAAAAGTTTTTATACTTTCAAAATTTCTCTTCTTCTCCCTGTTCTCCCTAGGTCATTATAACTTTTACTTATTATTCAACTTAATAGAATATTTGAGATATCTGTTTAAGCACATTAAATCCCCACAACAGTTATAAATTAATAATAACATAAGTACTTATTCAAACCTCATGACATCTCTTAAACTGACTTCTAGGGAACTGAACTTCCCTCAGCCTATTAATATTGAAAGTAATGGCGAATGGCAGACGGAAAATAATATTCAGTAGGTTGGAGCCATGAATGATGGATCAGATTTCTGACAGTAATTTCCATTCAGTTATTCCATTTGATCAGATTTGTATCAGTTAGAGACATTTTCTATCCCTTTATATTTCTATGATTGTAATTTATGAATACCCATACCTGTTTTTTGCTAATTCCTTGTTGAACTTCAGCTCCCAGCTTTGCCAGCTCCTGTAGTTTCTCTTCTATGTGGGCAGGAACAGTTTCTTTTCTACTACAATACCTTTGCTTTTCTCTTCTACCCAAGGCATCTCCTGTGCTCAATCTACTTTTCACTTCCTCTTCCATGATTTTCATTTTGCGCACTTCCTCATAAACCCTCTCAGTTTTGACCTCTGAAAGGGTCGATGGCTCTTCAAAATACTCCTTGATAGTCCTCAGCCACTCGAACATTTTCTCAGTCTCTTTTGTGAAATCTTCATTCTTTGAAACCTTCGTCTCACTTTCTTCAACAAAACATTTTAATTCAAACCGTAAAGACTGCAATGATTCAAGCTGCAGTGTAGTGTCCTGAAAGGCAGCGGGATCAAACTTCAGACCAAGGCCTTTAGTTTGCTGGTTACATTCTTCAGCTTGAGAGCTCACACAATCCAACCTTTCAAGCAGCAAATACACACTTTTGATTTTATCCATGGCACTTAGTTCTTTGTCTGACTTAAGTCGGACAAGATTCTCTTTCACAGACTTAAACTCTGAGTCCAACTTAGCAGATACTCTGTTGTGTTCAACTAGTGTTTTGAAGCAATCCTTTAAGTGTTTAATTTTCTCATCATTTATCCTTTTCAGTTTGTTGTGGAGAGTGACCAACTGCTGGGTCTCTTCAGATCTGTATACCTGACCCCTGCTGAGAAACCCCTCATTTTTGCCATGCAGTTCCCTCACAGCGGGGCTAATATGGAATAAACTTTCATCAATATTTCTGTATTCATTAGTTAGACAAACAAGTTCCTCCTCTCTAATACTGATAGTCTGCTTGTCCAGATTGTCAAACTGCTCCTGAAGTTCCTCAAGTGCATTACGAGTAATATCGAAGAAAGTGCTGAACTCTTTTCGCTCCAAGGTTATTTGCTGGACTCTGTCTTTTTTCTCTTTGGCTAGAGCTAGGATGGCGTTGTACTGCTGAGGCAGGGCATTGAGCCTCTCATCTAGGTAGCAATGATCAATCTCGTTCAGAGTTGGGAGGATCTCCTGGCCTATTCTTTGGACAATAAGAAGAAGGTTCTCATACTCTGAAGCTTGTTCTAGGACATCCTGAAAGTTAGACAGCTGTGTTTGCAACTCTGAGCTATCGTCAATGTTGCTTAAATTGATTTCAGGGAAGGTCATGGCGTCTGCTCGTCTCAACCAGTGGCAAGTCTTATCCAGGTCAACCTGGAAGTACTTCCTGGAGGTCAAGGCTTTCTCTAAGTCTGTGAGACGCTGAGTCGTCCTCTGGAGTGCGGTTTCAAACGCTGCCTGTAGCTTCTCAAGTCTCGCCAGGGTTTCTGCTCTCTCTTTGTCAGTGGCGTCTCTTTCTAGCTCTCGCCCTTGTATCCAGAGAGATGCCAACTCTCTCTGGTATGCACGTAACCCGCTCTGGACACCCCGACAAGCTGCAACCTGTTTCGCTAGGTCCTCAGGAAGAAGCGCTATGTGGTCATCTATCAAAGCCTTCCTCTCTTGTTGCTGTACCCAAGACAGGGCTCTCCCCAGGCCTTGAAGGAACTGTGTCCTCTCTGTGAAGGCCTAGAGAGGAAGAATTAAAGTCTGATCAGTAACAACATGGGGTTATTTTACAGTTTGTCTCTTGTACTACTGCTTGATTTCAGCAGAATAACAGATCAAATGAAAGTTAGGTTAGGCTATAATTAAAATTCTACTCGCATCCAATACAAAAATCCAGCTGTTTACCTTACTGAGGTACTTCCTCCTTTGGGCCACACGAGCCCCCAGAGCTTCCACCTCAGTCTGGGCTTGTTCAACGAGCTCCTGTAGGCATCTTTTTTCACTCAGCCCCAGTCTGGAAGCCACAGCTTGGGCCTCGCTTACTGCCTGACCCAGCAGCTGCTGACGGGCTTCCAGTTCTACGCACACGCTCAGGTGGTCAAACAGGAAACTCTGGGCCAAATCGGGGGGTGGGCTGGTTTTCAGCGCAGAGGTAAGCGCGGGCCGCTGCTCCTCCACCCACTCCCGGGCATCCCTCAGCTGGCTTTCAACCCGGGCAAGATCCTCTAGTGTCTGCGCGGAGTCCTGGATCTTCTGTTGGATGAGGGTCTCAAGCTGGGCCCAGCGCTGCTCCAGATGACCCACCTAGTGAAATGCAGAACACTGTATAAAACTGGACTTATACATTGTATACACTACTTATACTCTACATTACATTAAGTTTCCAACCATCTTTAGAAGCAGCTGAAGAACTACGAGAAATTAAGCTTCACCTGTTGCTTCACCAGCTCCTTGTCTAGCAGGCTAAGTCGAGGCAGGATAGCTTGTCTTTGGTCTCTGAGGTCTTCTAGAGTTGCTCTCTGCTCCTCTAGGTCACTGGAGAGCTTCCTCAGAGCCTCTAGATGCTCACTTGTACTCTCTGTGTCAGCCCTAAGTACACAAAGGGATGGGTTAAGGGACATCTGGTCTATACAGTAGTACGGTAATAAAGACATACAGTAATTGTATTTGCTGAGATAAAGACAAAGGGAAGACGATAACACCAGAGGAAGTGTGTGTATATATAGTAAATACTGTATATAAAGTCCTGTCAATCACTAAATATATCCAATTGGAAATTAAGCTTGATACCTGGCGAGGTAGTCCCATTCCCTGGATACTTGGTGGAAGAGTTCCTCCACAGCAACAACAATCTCCTGGTACTCCCCACTTCGCTGCATGTCCTCCCCCCGCTGGGCCTCCAGTTCTTCTGCCCGCTGGCCCAGGTCCTTCCAGCTTCGCCTCAGTCTCCTTATCTCCTCCAGGGCAGGAGACACCTGCCCATCTGTCAGCCTACTAGTGGCTTCATTCAAACGGGTTACCTCAGACTGTCTCTCCCTAATCTGCTGAAGGAACTCCTGCAGGAAAGATAACGTATATTAACACAGTCACAGTGAGCACATCTACAATTACATTACTACAACAATACAGTGTTGTTGCAGGATAAACTAAAAGCAAAAAAATTTGTTATTAGCATAAAAACCAAACACACACCTGTGCCTTGTCCAGCTGGTTCTGTGCAATCTTGGGCTCCAGCTCTGCAGGTCTCCTGATGAGGTTCTGAAGTTGCTGCTCTGTCTCTCTCAGCTGGACCTCCAGATCTGCCTTCTGCTCCTCAATGTCCCTCCAGCTGTCAGCTACCTCCTCACAAAGCAGCATACGCTCCTCGATCTACACACAAAACACACAATGGAATCAATTCATTAACAAGTATTTTGTCGAACAAAGTATTCAGTTTTAAAAGCAGAACAGCGGACTTCTCCAGCTGCAAACACTGACCCTGATCTTCTGGTTAAAAGCTTGTTAAAGCTAACTGACCTGAAGTTTGACCTGCTGAATAGATCCTGCGGTCTCCCTGACCCTCATCTCAGACAGGTCACATGCTGAGCACACAAGCTGGAGGTAAGTGCTGGCCTGTTCCTGGAGAGCCCGCTCCTGCTTCACCTGCCAAAAAAAGTCAATGGTCCTTTGATTTTATTGACTGATCACATTATTCCTTCTGCACAATCTGAAAAAAATGCATGTACTGTTCACGCATTTTGCTACGCAACCAAAAACATACAATCAAGAAAACTGTCATAATTTCAGGAAGTATCTAATCAATGTCTTGTCTTTGTTAGGGAATGGGCAGCGGCTTACTGACCTGCTGTAGCGCCTCCTCCAGGCTGAGAGGAGGATGTGCAGGAGGCTCCGGTTCCTCCGCGACAGAGATCAACCAGGTCTGGCACTGCTGCAGCGTGTCTTGGAGACTCACGTGTCTCTGTAACTCATGGTCCAGACTCTGATACACCTGTAGGACACAGACAGGTACATTTCACTGCTATTGGATTGAACACTTTCATATTTTAAACCCTTAAGGAAATCAAGCCAAAAATTATATTTAAGTATTGCGTTTTGAGAAATGTATGTTCCTGAAACGCCTACACTAAACTAAAGTGAGGGCAAAATGTTTCCTATAACAACAACAAAACACACATGCAATAACACAAATGTGAAGTGGAAATAAAAATGACAACGCCGTAGGTAGATACGGCTATATTACATAGCTTTGAAGCCAGTATAGAATCACCAAACACAAAGACACAATAAATGATAAAACCCGAACAAGTAGGCAGTTATGCAGTGTAGTCTCTGACAGGTGTTGAATGTGGAGGCGTCCATGCCCTCCAGGGGAGAGCGAAACAGCGACGTCTGATTGACAGTGTTAATATGAGAGCCCGAAAGCAGGGAAGGAAGGAGGGGGGAAATGTATTGGCAAACTGCCCAGTGTATTTGGCAAAGGCTAGAAGGTTGGCATGGTGGCAAATGGCAGGCAGGATATTAGAGCTGCGTTGTGCTGGGACACAGTTGGCAGTCATCGTAACACTGGAGGCACAGTTGTAGAGAAGCCAGCAGTGTAGTGGTAAAGTGTGGCTGGATCACACAATGCCAGATTGGATGTGCGAGTGCTGGTGGAGGTGGTGTCTTGGGAGGTGAGCTATGATGACAGAGTAGATGTTGCCAAAATGACAGAGTGGGGCTGGATTAGAGGGTTCGCCAGATCTACTGAATAGTGGCGTGTGACCATTTTTGGCTCAGGCATGAAAAAGTGGAGTTGACAGGGGATATGCAGAGATTAATATGGGGAGATTGAGTTAGTGATTTTGGCTGGTGGGGTCTGTCTGAGTATGGCTGCTGTTGAGCTCCACTTTGGCAGCCCTAATTGGTCGTGCCCCCTACACTGGCAGTGAAGGGCTGTCTTGAGAGACGGGTTTCAGTGTCAGAATGGGTTAGGATTAAGTGGATGCCCAGGCTGTTTGAATATTAACAGCACTGATATTTAGAGCTCGTGTGTCTGTGCATACATGTGCGGTCACATCCACGGATGCAAATGTACGTGTATCCAACACAGCAACGTGTCTTATCTGTCCTACATTATAAATGTCTAAGAACCATTTCCCTACTTTAAATACAGGATACTTTCTCATCTTCCCATCACTCCCTCCTCCTTCCCCTCCTCCTCCTGCTCTGCATCCCCTCCCTCTTTCCATCTCCTCCTCCTCACTCACTCTCTGCGCTGTGCTACAGATGGCGGAGTAGCTGTCTCTGGTGCCTTGCTGGTGAGCCTGGACCTGCTGTCTCAGCCTGCTCTGCACACGGTCACTGCAGCCTTGCACCAGGTGGGCTCCTCGCTCCTTTAGGAGTGCCAAGCGATCCTCAAAGCCCGCGATTTCCTCCATGATGGCCTGTGGAGGACAAAGTAACAAGTAGTATCGTGTGTATTACAGCATGTCAACTAGTCAGTGAAACAGGAGGTCAGAGCAGACTTATACCACACAGTGAGGTCTCATGGTGTTAGGCTAGAAAGGACTGAATGGATGAACTTGAAAGATGATTGAAATAGATGCTAAATAGAATTAGCATAGGCAAGTAGCTTTGTATATTAGGCCTTAGACCCTTTGGTTTGAGGTTTCTTTTTTTAAAGTATATTTTTGTTCGTCTTTTATGCCTTTATTTGATAGGACAGCTGGAGACAGTCAGGGAGACAGAGAGGGATGACACGCAGCAAAGGGCCGCAGGTTGGATTCGAACCCTGGGCCGCTGCA